GCATCTAGGCCTCTGTGCGGGTTTTGTTCCTGGCTCGATGCTTGCAATGCCTTCGCCAACAATCCTTCCTCAGCTTCACTTGCCTGCCTTTGTCAATGAGCTTTTTCGATCACCTCTTCCAAGACTACAGTTTGTATCTTTGATCTCCACACCAGTATAGTATCTCATCCAGGGGATCTATTGGTGGGGCACCCCCCGGAAAATGCCTGTGACACCTGCTTAGAACAGGTAGCACTGCTCAGCCAAGTCCTGCCTGGGCTTTATCAGGCTCTACCAGCCCAACTGATTCCTGCCGTCATTATCTGAATGTAGCCGATTGCTGTAAAGATAACAGTGAAGTTCCGCCCGTGTTGGACTCTTTTCCCCACTTCATTGGGTCATCATCATGAGGCTCAAGGTGCCTCCCTGGTGTTTTGAAGAACCCTTCCCACCACCCCGGGGCAAGGCCCCGGGGATGTCTTCCTAGCTTCTGTATTTTCCCTCCTTAGCCTTTATGGTAACTAACGTTAAATGATGATCTGTGTAATCATTTGCTTCATGTCTATAGACCCACCAGGCTGCTGTTAGATAATAAACTTGCTTCCTTATGAAGGAACTCCCCTCCCTCCGGGGAAGAAATAACAAAACATAAAAGCCTATGACATGAATGCACTGAATTATCTTGAAGTTAAGGTCTGCCCTGTCTTCGCTTCGGCTGCTGTAGAACAGGGCAGCACGGACGGGGCGGTTCGCACACAGCAGAAGTTCACACCTCACGGCTCTGGAAGCTGGGAGGCCAAGATCAGGGCGCCAGGTTCGGGTTCCAGGGAAGACCTACCTCCAGGGTGCGATCGCCACCTTCTCCCCGAATGTTCCCAGGGCAGAAAAGGGGATGCCATTCTGGCCCCTTCTCATCCCATTCCCGAGGGCTCCACCCTTGTGACCTAATCACCCCAGAGGCCCCACCCCCTCACACCACCACGTTGGGGGTTAGATTACAACCTGTGCATTTGGCAAGGGGCGTGGGGCACAATCATCCAGTCTATGACATCCTCCACAAAGCAATGTAGAATTTTGATTTAGGTTGCAGACTGGGAAACCAGACTCCCCATTTGAGTCCAAGTCTTGCCATTGTGTGCCAGCGTGGGCTGAGTGGGTTACATAACTTTTTTATTACTGTCCAGCTACCGTTGTCCCAACTTCCCCTACTGCTGCTCTCCCCTGCCCCTTCCAACCCCACTTGTCCTTGGCCTTGTCCATGGGTCCTTGGCCCATGTTTTGATGCCTCTCTCTCCTCATCTATAATATAGGGATGATCATACTAACCTCTACCTTTCAGGGTGCACGTAGGACTAAAATGAGCTGCTATGTGGGAAGCACTTAGTAGGGTGCCTGGCACAGAAGAGTCACTCCTAAGTGTCTTAAGTGTTAGTTGTGGTTGTACTTTCAGTGTTGTTATTGTATCGGCAGTGCCTCCCATGGCCTAACTGCTCTCCCAACTTCACGGCACCCTGTGAACAGTATAGTACTCCCCAGAAAGTGTCATGAGCCCCAGACGCTGCCATCTCAACACATTTTCCTTTACACACAATTGGGGGAGGGGTAGTGGAGGGAAGCGAAAGGGAAAGGGCCCCACATCCTTTTCTTTGCCCAAAGTCTACACTCCTGGGAAGACCATCTTCCCAAGTGCAGAAGACAGAGGCTCACCCCTGCCTTTCCTCTCCGCTCTCAGTGAGTGAGGTCTCACGTCAGGGCGCTAGCTCCAGATTGGTGGACACCCATGTTCCACACAGAAAAGTTAGGGGGCAGGGCAAAAATACTTCCGGGGCAAAGCTACCAAGTAGCTGAGGCTGGTGATTGGCACCCTCTTTCAAGCTTAAGCTCTTTTTTTTTCTTTCAGAGATCTTATGTACTTACTTTTCAGAGAGGGGAAGGGAGGGAGAAAGAGAGCGAGAGAAACATCGATGTGTGAGAGATGCATCAATTGGTTGCCTCTCGTACGCCCCCAACTGGGGACCTGGCCCACAAACCAGGCATGTTGCCCTGACTGGGAATCAAACCAGTGACCTTTCGGTTTACAGGCGGATGCTCAATCCACTGAGCCACACCAGCCAGGGCTCAAGCTTAAGCTCTTTACTCCTTTGACTCTCCCTGCCCAGCAGCTGGTCCTGAATGTCCTCTCAGAGAGGTGCTTTTGGGTGTCATGGTGAGAGACCCTCATACTTTCTCTTTCCTCTTGCTCAACTAGGTAAGGACTCAGGCTCATCTCAGAGGCCTCTGCTCCCCTGGACTACCATCCCTCCCTGCCAGTGCCCACCCTGCCCCACTTCCCTGGCCCTGGAAACCTGACCCCCCGCCCCCGCCAACACTAACGTTTTCAGTATCTCCCCAGGGCCAGGCTCTCCGGACCACACAAGTACTTCCTGAGAAACTCATTCAGACTTGCAGGGAAAAATAAAGTGTAATGGTTAAGTTCAGAGGCTTTGAATCTAGAAAGACCTGAGTTGAAGTTTTCATCTGGACACAAACAGTGTCTGGGCAACTTGTTAGCATCTTCCAGCCTCATTCTTTCCCTTTGTAAAATAGAGACATCACTTCTACTTCAGAGAGCAGCTGGAATAATTCCCTGAGACATATACACAGCAGTTAGCATAGGTTCGTAGGTTTGCAATAAGCAATGAATAAATGGAAGTGATCATGGATGTTCTGTGCTAATGGGAGGGGTTTAGACAAAATATTGCCTCCCCTCCCCTCCTCTCCCTTTCCCTAAGTCTGTACTCTCTATCTGGTAAAATAACTGGTACAGAACAGTGCCATCAGTTTTAATGCCCAGAGTCCCAAAATAGTGATTCTATTGATAAAATTTCAGTCCAGGAAGCATTTTGGTGAACTTGCAAGAGCGAAGATGGAGCAACGAGAGGTCTAGGTTCCAACTCCTGCTCAGATGCCACCGGGCCGGGTGACTTGGGGGCAGACACTCCCCCTGGAGGGCCACCGTTTCTTCTTCTGTGAAAAGAAAAGTCAGAATAAGACAGGCTTCAAAGTTCTTTCTGGTTCTGATTTGCTTTGAATCTCTATGAAGGGTCAGTCTCTTAATGACTTCCCATACTGATACTTAAGAACCTTAACTGATGCATGTTTTTTCTTCTGACGTGTTTTTGTGTGACCTTCTATTGCCTCCTGTTTTCTGCCTGCAGACGTGGTCACTGGGGGTAGACTATGGAGTCGGTCATTCTAGGTTTGGATCTCAACACCAGCGCTTGACTCTGGGACAGTTATTTAACTTCTCTGGGCCTCAGTGACCTCATCTGTCAAAGGGGACAGACAAAGGAGAGATGTGAAGATGAAAAGAGATAAAACACTTGGATATACGTAACCCCAAAGGCTATGGTTCAATGACCTGAAAGGCACTAAGCAGTTTGATATCTTAACGAACTTATTTCAGGATGTGTTTCCTTGTGGATCTTTGGTACCCTATTGCCATCTCACTGGTGTCCTCACTGATTAATGAGTTGAATTCAATCACATATGATCATTCTGGTTTTTGTATGAGAATCATATATTTAACTCTTTGAAAAGGATCCTTTGACAAGTCCTGACTGACTGCTTCAAGACACATTCCTTAATAGACTGGCATTGGCAAAACTCGCTTTGCTAGAAATGCTGATTAAGTTATTGAAAAAAAAAAACTACACTGGGTTTCAATTTTTATAGATTCTGCGCCCCCTTCCCTAGGTCTGTCAGCTAGAGCCAGGTCCTAGGGGGCAAAACGTGGGGAGTCTCTACCCACTGGAAGAAGAAATAAGCTGCCAGAAGAATCTAGCAGAAAGAGATACTTTCATAATGGCCTTTACATTTATGACTAGCAAGATAATGAAGAAAGGTAATTCGGAGAGCTTTATGTCAGTTGTAATAGTCCCTCAAGCACTGAGGAAGATAATAGTCCATGGACGGTGTCCACAGGATTTGTTCTCCTCCCCCGAGAGCCATTGACGGGGTCATTCTGGATGTGTAGCTGCTGTCACTGAAGCATAGAGAAAAGGCCCTGTGGGCCAGGAGGGTGAGGACAACGTCCCTGCAAGGATCTCTATTGTCATCACTATGACAATAATAGTTGTTATAATTTTCATTCTGCTTTTCTATCGAGTGTCTGCTTTGTGAAGCTTAAGGCTATGGGATTTGGGCCACATAAAATCACACTAGCATAAAATCATGCTTCATAATCTTGCGAGAATTATTTTATAAAACTGCAAATAGAACCTATGCAAAAAGAAAAAAATAATTACCAGTGCAAGTCACTTGACTAACACAATTATTTATGGGAGGTTAATAGCTTTTCAGAAGCTTTCAGATATAGTGTCAAACTGACAGTCAATTTCTCAACAATCACACACTCTCTCTCTCTCTCTCTGGTTTGGATTGTTTCACCACTGCCAACTTCTGTCCCCAAGGACATGGCTTATCATGTCAGGGGATAAAATATCAATTAATTAATTGCAAATCAGCTTTCAGTTTTGTCCGGTAGTTTCTCTTTATTTTCTGCAACTAAACTACAAGGTCAGGAGCCATGTTTTTTAGTTCATTTATGCACTAACACTACGCTCTGCATAGACATCTAACACTTCCAGAATACACCTATGCGAAAAGACCCCTGGTGAATGAAACAGGATGGGGGCTCATGGTGATCTTCCAGTGGAATGAAGAAACCTCCAGCAAGGGGCTTCGAGGTACGAAGAAAACAGCTGTGAACAAAGAAAAGGGATGCAGAGGGAAAAACGGGGAAACAAGAAAGACAAACGAAAGTAACAAAGCCAGAGACTGAATGGACTAAAGAGAGAAAAAAATCAAAAGCAAACAAACAATAAAAGAGGTGGACAAAAACAAAGCGAAAAATCGTGTGGCAATGGTGGCGTTCACTGCAAAGGGAAGACTCGTGGAGAGGCGAAGACTACAACCCCCAGAATCCTCTGCGGATCCTCCGCCCCTGGTTGTCAGTCTCCTAGGCAACGTGGGTAAACAAGATGGCGACCTCCGGGAGCGATCCCCAGTGGCCGAAGTTTAGCTCTCTCCAGAGAACCTCGAGCAGTTCACGAAGTGGAGCCCAGTCTATACTGTCGCGCTCAGAAAGACAGCCATGGTCTTCATTTCCCATGGGGCAGAGACCGAAAATTACCTACAGAGACTCCTCCTCCTACCTGCTCCAGGAGCTCATTCACCGGTGTCAGGAGTCAGACACAGACGTACAGATATACGAGGACAAGGAAGACGAGCTAGAGGTAGAAGACGAAGTGGAATCCGAGGAGTCCTCAGAGTCCGAGATGCTGAATTTGGAGGTTTGCTTCCCCCACCCCGACCCTTTACCCCCTGGCTCTTTTCCCCAGCCGTGGGGCCCTGCTTCTTCAGCGGCAGCATCCTGATGCACCCTCATTAGCGCGTGGCTTAGCCCGTTCCTTGGGCTTTCGCCTCCAGGGGTGCCTCATCCCGACCACCTCAAGGCTCCCTCTCTTTTCTTCCCATTTCTGTTACCCCGTTTCCTCACCCCTTGTTGAAATATTTGTAGATATCTCCTTTATTTTTCAGTAGCACATTTGGTTTCTTCAGAGTCTCATTGTGCAGCAGTCAAATTATGGAAAAAAAATCAGCCTATCGGTATGGCACTTATGGCTTCAACTTGGTCAAAATGATACCTTGACCATATTGTGCATCGGTACAGCTCGTCTTTGACATCTCCTGCGCCTTCTCCCCATGATTCCAAAGCACTTCAGTGTTCTCCCACTTCTAGTCCCTTCGTCCTCTTTGCTGCAGGGAAACATTTTACTCTTTTCAAGTAATTTGAGAAGGGCTTCCTCAAACACTGACTTAAAAGTTTAATATATTACATCTGCCAAGGGTGTATGGTACATTATCAAGACACACACACACACACACACACACACACACACACACACACCCCCTCGCTGTGGGAGTGTTTTAGGGTGTAGAGAATGTTCCCAACATTCCCATCTACGCTGCCCGAGTGGTGGCTCTGCCTTCCACGTTAATGCAACACCTCTTCTAACCACAACCCAAACCCGCTTCTTTCTCACACTCACTATCATCATCCTTTTTCTTCCTTAGCCCATCACCTGTCTTCCGCCCCTTTCTACTTTCTACTTCTTGTCACATCCCTTCCTTCTCTTGCCTTCTAATACATCATTTGCTATCTTTCAAAAACAGATTGATTTGCTTCTTTTCAATAAACAGGGAGGTTTCTTCCTCTTTGTCCTGCTGCCAGGAAACTCAGAAACAGTATTTTTTCTATATTTCAATAGTTTTTCTTTAGATAGGTTCTTCTCTCCCCTTTCTTCTTCTTGGAATATAAATTGCCTGAAATTCTTTCCAGGAGTAGATAGGATGCAGAGAAATAGAATGTTTCCAGTGTCCCCATTCTGTGATAGTCTTCTGGCGTTCTTCTGTGCACCTCTGCCCCTTTCCCCAGCCGCCTTTCCTCCCTCGAGCCAAGCATGTTTCTCTGTGTTAGGCCATTCCCTTTCACTAGCTCTTTTCCTTATCAGGCTTATTTCTTGTTATTCTCCTCTCAGTAACTTGCATTATCTTCTGCTACCCATATTCTACTGTTAACCACTTGCACTTGACCCCACTTGGATTCTCTCCTTCTGCAGTGTCCTCTTGTTCACCTTCCACATGTGGCCCATTGTTTCCACCTGCATTTTGTCTTTCTTGTTCTTCTACCTCCTTTTACATGGGCTAGTTACACGTTAGTTTTGCTTAAAGTGGATAAAAGGAAATTGTTCCCTATTTTTTCATCCTGTGACTTATTTTGCAACCCTGAACAGTAACTGTTGCAAAACCGTAGCAGTGTTTTTACAGTTTTGAGATGTTTGTATGGTTTCCACCAGCTTCCACCCCAGAGGAATTCACAAAGGAATCGCCAGTTCACTTTATTATTCTAATTAACGCATGCTCTTACGGTCTGGGGTTCATTAGTATCGTTGTTAATCTGTCTTCAGTATGCCATTAACAAACAAACCGTAGAGGGGGACAGTTGAACTAGTGTTTCCTTTCTGGCTTATGGGATGTACGTGGGACAAGCTTATGAGTTCTCCCGCATACATTCTAAATATTAATATTTATTTTGTGTTTTCACATTCTAACTTAGCTTTCTAGAATATCTCATACGTTTTAAGATACCGAACAAACTGTAAAGTTGAAAAGGAAACATTTGAACGTTTGTGTTCAGTGATTCATTTTCCATGTGTTCGCCTAGTTAAGATTTATAACGTCACTGTGGTCATAGTGGTCACTGAGTGCCTGTGATTGCCATTAGCCTCAAACCTCTGGAGAACCTTATGAACTTAAGGGAGGTAGTGCAGACCAGCCATCCAAAATACCGCCTTTGGTTTTTGTAAAGCCTTTCATTAGCTGTGAGATTTTGAGCACTTTACCTCTCTATGTCTCCTCTGCAATATGGGAATCATCATAATACCTATCTCTTAGGAGAGTTCTGAAAATTAAACAAGATTCTATATGTAAAATACTAAGTATCGTATATTATTTATACTGCTTTTTTAAAGATTTTATTTCTTTATTTTTAGAGAGAGGGAAAGAGAAAGAGAGAGGGAGAGAAACATCAATGTGTGGTTGCCTCTCACGCGCCCCCTACTGGGGACCTGGCCCGCAACCCAGGCATGTGCCCTGACTGGGAATCGAACAAGCGACCCTTTGGTTCACAACCCTTGCTCAACCCACTGAGCTACCACCAGCCAGGGCTATATTGTTTACTAATATAAATAATAACTTCCATGTTTTCATCTGCTAACCCCAGCCCATCAAGTGATTTCATTAATTTAGCCTGCAGTGAACAAACGTTCCTCGAATGATTGCTGTGTAGGAAGCGCTCTGATATCTAGGGCAGAGAAGCATCTGGGCCCATTTTATGTGTCTGATGCATGAAAACCACTCTTTGCCAGTAACTAATGTGGGCAACAACACCCACTCGTTAGATAGGTAATAACATCAGATATAATAAGAAGCCGTGTTGAAGATCTTAGTAGGGTGCCTGGTGTAGAGCAGGCTCTCAAGGAACTATAGATGGTCAGTACTGCATCGTAGCAACAGTGATGGTAGATAGAACATGGCGAGAACATGACTGAGGCCGTACGTGGTAGCCCCACCCAAGGTAAGGTATGCCTGTGAGTGAATCATAGCTGCTCTGTATGTGAAGTATTACAGGCACGGCCGTGTCCAGATGGCGGCCGGGTGCAGCGCTCCTGGAGACTGTAAGGAAAGTTGGCCCTTGTCTGGAGTGGTGGGGGGTGGGGGGCAGACAGACAGCAGAAAAGGCACCCAGGGGGCCAGGCTGTGGAGGGCTTGGTGCTGTTGTGCGGACTTTGGGCGTGGGTCTCTGGCGGCCGAGTGGGGTTAGATCAGAAGCCGGGAGGCCAGTGGGAATACCCGAGGAATACCATGGAGCAGAGGCAGCATCTGGATTAAGGCAGTGGAAGTGGAAACGGAAAGGCAGCTAAAGATGGAACCAAGTGAGATATTTGAGATGGGACAGTTACTAATTGAATAGCAGAGGTCTGGGCTGCTGCCCGGTCCATGGCATGGTCTGGAGGGGGTCATCACGGCTACTGACCACTGTGAGAAACAGGAACAGGGAGAGCCGTGTTTTGAGGGGTTACGACTGAAATCAGGGGAGGTTCTTAGAGTCGGAAGACCTGGGAATCATCAGCACTGGCGGCCATGCGGTCAGGCGGGAAGAGCAGAGGAGAGCGGCCAGCACTAGACCCCGGGGCGCAGGTCTTGGAGTAGCCAGCCGACAAGGAGGACCTGGGGAAGGAAGCTGGAGAGGATCGGTGAGAGAAGCACAGGAAGGAAGAGTCATACGTGAGGGACGCCAAGGCAAGAAGGAGTCTTGAGCGTGGGAATGGCTTTGCTGCCAGCCTGGCAAATGGGAAGAGGCCCAAAACACGCTTCCTAGCTTTGCCTGCCCGAGGGTCGCCGGAGACCTAGGCCCCTGTGGTTTCGTGATGTGGCGAAGGCAGAAGCCTGGCTGTTGGGAGTCAAAGAGAGAATTGGAGGCGAAGAAAGGGAACTCAAGGATAAGAAAAGCAACTGTGGAGGAGCTTGGGTGCCGAGGGAGACGACAGTGACAGAACAGGCAGGGCTGAAGGGAGGAGCCCTCTCAGGACCGAAGAGCCTCACAGCGTGTTTAGCTGGGGGGTGACTGGTTGAAACCCCAGGCCAATGAGGGCAAAACCGGTGGTCCGAGAGCGAGGATGGGAGAAGCAGAGGAAGTGGGGCCCTGAGTGCGAGAAGGAGCCGGCTCTCTCTGAGACCCAGGTGAGAGGCGTCCGGGCAGGCTCAGAGCGCAGATGGGGTGAGTGTCCGGCCCTTTCCGCTTTGGCTCTGAAGTAGAAGAGAAGAGCGTCTGCTGAGAGTGAGGGTAGAGGCGTGGGGGCATGTCTTTGAGGAGAGCAATGGAGAGTTGATTGGGCAAGGCGAGGAGTTGAAAGGCCGCAGATAAGCAATGGGAGACAAGGAGCTCCGAGGTCCAGCCACCAGCTGACTTTGGAGCGGCAGCAGAATGCAGAGTCAGGGTGGGGGGGGCCTTTCCCGGCCCCCTCAGCCGCTTGGGGGGAGAGTGGGTGCATTCATTCACCCACCCTGTACGTACTAGGCACTGAATCGCACCCTCCCATCTATGCGGCAGCTAGTTTGAACTCTTTGTCACATTCCCCTAATGGGCCACGCCTGTCTTTACCTTTGAGATTCTGTATATGTTCCCCCGTTGCCTGCGTTACCCTTCGTGGCCCTCTTTTCTGCCCTTTCTTCCCCTTTCCAGAATAACTCACAACTTCGGATCTCAACTGAATTGCTCTCTCTCCCCAAGGAAGCCTTGGCTATGCGCCTGCACCTCCATAGAACTGACAAAAACGATGCCCTACTTACAGTCAAAGCACCCTGCCCAGCTGTATTGTAATATTTATCAAACTCATCCTGAAATTGCGTGTGTACCTGTCTGACATGTGTGAGAAGCATGACTCAGTTCCCGAACAGTGCTTGCTTGTGAACTTGATTCAGGTGTGTGTACATCTGTGGCAGTTGCAATCAGGGACAAGGAATCAGAGACTTGAGAGCAGAGACGGTGAAGTTGCCCGTGGGATGCTCAGCAGGGAAAGGAGTGCAGTCAGGAGGGCACAGGTGGGCTCTGAGGAAGGGGAGGATGAACAGACCGGAGATCCTGTTGTGGTCCAAGGCCAAGTTCCATAGGTTGTGGAGAGGGTGAGGCATAGGCACCTGTGGGATTAGAGAGGATGGAGCGCCGTGGGGTTTGAGAGTTCCAGGTGGGGCAGCTCAGCGTGATGGCCAGGTTGGTCCAGGGCCCGGCCGTGGGAGTGGGTGGCGGAAGTTGGGTGGAGACCAATGCTAAGGTGTCTGAAGTTGAGAAAATACAGAGTCGTGTGTAAGTGCGTGTGCCTGAGTAGTAGGGACAGTGAATGGCCATCCCTGGGGACTGTGAAGCCAGCTGGTGTAGAGACAGGGCATAAGCGGATTGAAAATGACCCAAGACCAAAAGGGAAAGGCGTGGCTCTGACAAATGGCAGGGACCTCAAAGGAGCAGGCAGGGGGCTGCATGGGGCGTCCTGCCTTGGGGATCTGGGGGAACGTGGACAGTGTGGCCGGTCTTTCTATGAAGGGCCACCCTGAGAAGCAGACAGCCACCTGATGTAAGGAAGGGGAGCAAGACTTCTCTCCTCCAGGAAATGGAAGGGCTGGGACAGGCAAACTTCAGAAGTGTGTCGGTGGGAAGTTTTGGATGGAAGGTAACACCCTGACGCTATCTTTTCCCAGGCCTTTTATAAGAAATTGGAACTTTATTTACAAAAGTAGGTCTCTCTCCCCCATGTGCTGAATGGGTTGACTGGTATGGACGAATGAAACATTAAGATGTGGAATTCCAATTAGTAAACAGCTGTCATTTATTGGGAACATTTGCCATATTCTAGCCATGGTGTTAAGAGTTCTACGTAGGAGAATTTTTTTCACTCTCCCCAAAACATTAAGAGAAGGTAATAATATTTATTTATTTATACAGGGTCTGGCAGAAGTAAGACCTACGAGAGTGTGGTTGGTAGGGTTATAATATGAGTGCAATAATTTACAGTCTTAATTTGAACATTTCACCTAAAATGTCATGTGGTGTGCTTGAGTGTGATATTGTTATGTTACAGAATTGCATACTTACGATTTTGTAACACAAGACTTTGGAATGAAGAAGGGGCGTTATTTGTGCCGGACCCTGTAGAGGAAGACTGTGAGGCTCAGAAAGAACTTTGTCTGCCCAGAGTCATGTGCCCACAGCGGCGGATCCCGGGGTCAGACCCGCCCGCCCGGCCCGAAGCCTGTGCGCTCTCCCTGCGAGCCATCCCTGCGTCCCGGCGCTAGTGCTCATCTCGGGGGAGAGACACTCCTTACAACAGCATGAGCCTACATGTCGTTCTTACCTCCTTAGTACCGGCAGCTTGAGTGGCACCGTCGTTTCCTGAATTAATACAGAAAGCCTGGAAGAGATATTTTGCCGTCATAGTCCACATGCTAGTCTTGCTCAGTTAGACTGGCGTGACTGAGGTGATTTCTGTGCTTTGTGTCCTGGGGCTGGTGTTCGTGTCCCCGTGCTGGTCGTTATGGAGTTGCAGGCAGCACAAACCTAGCGCTGACCCACCTGTTACAATTTGTTTCTGTCATTGCTGAGGAAAGGACGTGCCGGGCCACCCCTGGTCCCTAGATGTCTGCGGACCGAGGGCCAGCCTCTTTATGGAAATGCTTATTACCCTGTTAATAATTCTCGTAAATTGTACGAATCCGGCAGTGTTAGCCAATAGGACGCTAACTGATGACCCGTTTTCTCCTGCGAGAATACCCGAGTCAGAGGAGTCATGGCCTGGATTGGACATAACCAGCCTTCAGGGTGTGGGCGAGCCGCCCAGCGCAGTGGTTAGCATTGCCGTGGGGTCGGGCAGGCTTGGGTTCCTGTTTTCGCTCTGTCACGTACTAGCTCCGTGGTTTCGGGCACATCAACCTCTGTGAGCCTCCTTCACCTGGACGACGGAGCTAAGCGTGCCTGCCCAAGGGTGGTCGGGAGGACTCTGCGAGCTGATCCACTGAGAGGTCTTAGCGCAGGGCTGGGGAGGAGACACGCCCCGTTTGCCACCACTGAGATCGATGTGCCCACTGCCCTGTTCATTGCACTCGGAACGCCGGCCAGTCACCACCTGCACATTAGTGGCGAGAAAGACATTGATCTGATAGTTCCTGATTCTGTCGTACGTCATCCATACGTGTTCATTTTGGAGGGCTCGGCTCCTGGATGTGCCGTGTCCTAAGTAAGCGCTGGATCAGCCGAGATGCCTCGCTCCTTTTGTAACGGAAGTCCTCTCTGCCCGCCTCTCCTGGTTTCTTTTGCAGGAGGAGTTTGACGGGGTCCTGAGAGAGGACATGGTGGCTGAGGCGCTGTCCCGGTTGGGGCGCTCCGGTTCCGGGACCGAGCAGGTCTACCTCGACCTGACTTTGTCGGTGAGTACGACGAGATCACCGCTGTCTGGCTGCACCTTGACACTGGCTGGACCACGTCCCCCCTTTTCTGGCACACATCGCTTTTGTGGGCCCCCAATCTCAGAGCCCTGCATGGGGTGGAGACTGGCGATAAGAGTTATTTCTGGAAATGCAGACATCAAAGAGCCCCGGCTAGTCCAATAAGCAGCGCCTCAAATTCTTTTGTTTTCATTCCCTTCACAGCCTATTTCTTTCATCTTAAGTAGTCTATTTTATAGCAATCAATGCCTTCTTTCCAGAAGGTTGAATTTGATTCTGTAAAACTAATGAAAAACTCCTTACGAATTTTCTCTCTGATCAGTACCAGGACTAAAATTTGTATCTGAATCCACGGGAACAAAGGGTTTTGGTATTGACTTCCCCCCGCCCCCTGAAGTCAGTCAAGAAATAAGTAGCTTTGAGCTATCTCTCACTTTCCTAAAGATGCCAATTATTGATGAGAAAATGTATTGTTATTCGTCAATTTGCAGGAATTCAATACTAGTCACGGTGTAGCCCAGCATCTTGGCTCCAATTTTATCATAAAAACAGAATCCTCACTCTCCTTCGGCGTCTTTCCCATTTTGCTTCTCTACAGCCCTAGCGAAATAACTCTTTCTGCTTTCTCATGTTGCACAGCAGCAAGCATTCCTTGGAGATTTACAGAGTAAATGCAGATGGGCAAGAAAACCACACAGAAATTTCTGCTCTAACACCAATGTGGCTCAAGCGTATAAAATTCATCGTCAGGCTGTTCTGTCTTGCATTTGAACTAGCAAACTATCCAAGAAATGTTAAGCTTTTTTTTCACCCACGCTGGTTTCATGGCGTGTCCTTTGAGATCAGCACATTAAGGCTCTAATCTTTTACTGTTTTCACTCTATAAGGTTTTATGGATGACTCAGCCAGTCAGGCAATGACATACGGGGGGGGGGGGGCACCCCGTGAACGGCACCATGCTAGGCATTGGAATGGGAGGTAACTCCGGCAGCCAATACACCCCACACAAGAGGCTTTTGATCAATATTCTACTTGTGTATGCAGTGCTATGCCTTAAATTGATCTACCAAAAAAAGCAATTCTTTAAATCTTATTTCAGCTACATGGACTGAAGCTTAACTTACTTTGCCACTGACCTCCTTACATTTGAGATATTACACGTTGAATTACTTTGCTTTCATAACCCGTCTTATTGAATACACTTCCGTGGGATTGCCTGGTTTAGTGGCTCCCCCACCCCCTCCCGTCTTCGTTACGTTGCATGTTATTTTTTACTTTCTTTTATTACTTGTGTGTGTAGCTTCTCTCCTACTGGAATCATAATTTTCTCAAGGGCGCAATAGGGCTCTATTTCAGTGCTGTATTCCTCGTCATGCCAAGCACAATGCCTTGTACGTAGTAGGTTTCCAGTAAGTATTTATTTACTACGGTTCTGGTGGCCTTTTTTCAATGCTGTCATTGTTACATTTGAGAACTTGCCTCTAATGACACTTCAGCGGTCAGCTTTTCCTGCCTTTAACATCGCAATATAAAGCAGTGATACGCATCTCTGCTCCTAGGGACCGGATGCCCCTCCAGCCCCTGTGGAAATTCACTAGAAGCAATACGCCATGGAAAGAATGTTCGAAGAAAAATCAGGAGACTTGGATCTGCTTCTCTATCACTAACCTGCTCTGTGATGCTAGGCTATTTACACAGCTCTCTCTGTACCTCATACTCCTGGTCCCTAAACTGGGAGTCGTCTGGGGGGTCGGGGGGGGGGGGCATCTCTCAGGTTATTTGGTCAGATAAGATTATTGTGGGAGAGATTTGAAAATGATCCCTGTGAAAATGTGGGTGGTGTTAATGATCCCCTGACTAGGTGTGAACTCCCTTTAACATTTTATTTACATTCTGAGATTTCACTTTTTCTTCAGCCAAATAAAGGCTTTGGCTTTATTGCTATTGCATGTTTTTAATTAAAAAAAAAAACAAACCTCTACTCTAAAGGGCTTCATAACACTGCTTTAATTTGCCTTTCCATGTTGTATTTGTTCTCGCTAACAACACTAATTTTCCAAGCTATTATTTTCTTCAGAGGAATGCATTTTTTAATGGGGTATAGAGTCTGTTTTGAGGTCCTAGTAGAAGTAGGCTTCCAGTTTTGCCCCCTCGCTCCTACTCCATTTCATGAAGGCAGTTCTGGATTTCTCTGGTCTGGTGTCATTTCTAGACGCTGCAGGAGGCTGCGTGCAAACCCGCGACAGCAGCGTTCAAGTCTTTCCCCTTTTACTTCCACAGGGTCAGGACCTGGTCGACGTCAGCATCCTCTGTGGGTACGTGCACCTGCAGAAGCTGGACCTCTCGGTGAATAAAATTGCAGGTGTGTAATCGTCACTCTAGTCATTGATGGGTCACGGGATCATTTAACATTTTAAGCTTTGCCGTGTGTAACGTAGTTGAATGCTGCAGAACTTGATACAAATGCTGCTGTGGCTCAGTTGACATCGCGTCAACACTTTCTGTGTAAAAAAGGCTCCGATGGCTGGTGACGGCGGAAAGAGTCGGATGGGCAAGCGTGCAGCGCCACGCGATGGTGGAGCGTACCGGGTGGGATGCTCGCTCTTCCCTTTTAGGAGATGGGCCCTCGCTTCTTTCCTGCTTCCTGAATATTTGGTGATTCCCTTTTATTTCCCTCTTTGCGGTTATTCAGTGTAGGTGAATTCATTTTTGGTTTTTTCCTTCAATGGAGGTTTCATTTATTTTGCATTGGCATCAGTGTTTGTTGGATTTTATTTTGCTGCAGAAAGCGTTAGTTTCCCTGTGGTTCAGTGCATGGGAGAGGGCTCCAGGGCGGCTCAAAGGATGCCTAGGGCTTTCAGGGAGAGGCTTGGGCAGGAGCCAGATACCAGGGGAATGCAGAGGGGCCCCTCGGAGGCCTCAGGGCTGCAAAGGCTCCTAGTCGTGCTTGAGGGGGAGCCTTTGGAGGAGATACTCACCCAGCCTGGGGGCCAGCCGGCCTGCAGAGGTGAGTCAGGTGTAGCCCATCTTCTTGATTTGCTTCACCTGCTCCTCCAGGACGTGGTTCTACAGGAAGTCTCAGAGCTGAGGTTCTGTGCGGGCAGAGCACAGGCCCTGCAGGTCTGGAAGGGCCGGGTCCCGGTTCTTCTCCAGGACCACGGCAGCTTCCATGGCATCCTGAGTTTCACCCCACTCACCTTGAGGTGGCTGCAGCACCTTCTGGGAGAGAATGCAGCCACTGTGCTGGTATGGCGTCTTTAAGAGACGCTCAGCACCCTGGCGCTTCTTCCCCACAGCCCCCAGAGCCACATGGTCCCGGTGGAAATAGAAGCGCAGAGAGAGGTAGGTGTGGGCGGCCTGCACTTGCAGGCTGGCCAGGCGCTGGTGGCAGCCTCCACCTGGGGGTGGGGGGGTACACGGTTGTTCAGCGATAAGGAGTTCAGGTCAAAACACAGTGTCGGCTGGTCTGGGAGGCTGAGGATGGCTGAGGTGGTGCCGAAGGTGGTGCCTGGAAGAGAGGCCGGAGGGTGGTCTGACCTGGAAGAGGGGGTGGCCCTGGGTCTGTTCCCTCCAAAGACTGTTGAAGCAAGAGACAGGTGTGGGGCGGGGGGCTGCCGAGGGGGCACTGTCGAGGGTGCTGCCACATTCCCATCGACGTTTTAATCCTGGCCATGCACTGCTGTCCTTATTTTGAGCACTGGGACTCACAATTTTTTTTCCTCTATTTTTTCTGTCTCTATATATTTAGTTGATTGTTTAAACTCTTAACTTTGACATTTGGAGTTCTATATAATCTATTCATTGTGACACCTTGTTCACATTTGATAAAATCAGTTACATATTCTTGAAAGCTTTATCCTTGTTTCTAATTTTCTGATCTTATTTGAAGTTAAAGTGTACAATTTTTTTTCTTTGGACTTCTAAGAAAGGAAGCAAATCCTTTTTTCTGCCCTGCTTTCTTCACAGATAAACTTTCTACTCTCTTCTTTAGTTTTTCTTTTTTATTACAATTAAATTTTACTGATATGGTCCTTTCCGGCTCATTTTAAGTTTTTTTCCTTTCTTTTCTTACCTCATATGACTGCAGTGATTAAAATCCACTTTCATTCCAATGATTAAGAAATATTCTAGTATAATTTTTCTTACAATTTTACTGTTTTTATTTTTTATCCTCACCTGAGGGCATTGTTTTCACTGCTTTTTAGAGACAGAGAAAGGGAAAGGGGAAGGGAGAGAGAAACATCCATGTGAGAGAGACACTGGTCCCTTGCCTCCCGTATGCACCTGGACTGGGGATCAAACCTGCAACCTTCCAGCTGCAACCTTTGAGCCACGGACGATGCTCCAACCAGCCGAGTCACACCGGCCAGGGCAAAATGTTACTGTTTTGAAAGACGTTTACCCCCTGGTTTTATAAAACGTTATTACGCAAAATTACAAGCCTGGGAACAAGTCAAGAGACTGGTGTCGTGAAGAGTCGGCTTCAACAGTTAGCAGCCCACGACCTGTCTTGCTTCATCCGTAGCTCCCTGCCCCCTCTCCAGGGCTATTTTAAAGCCTCAGAGAGGCTTTTAGTGTGACTGGCAGGAGGTCTCCCCGTACCCCACCCCTCCAAGGTTGGTTTCATTGATTGGATAAGGAATTATGGAGCGGAGGGGGATTCAATACTGCTAGTGCTAGGCAAGGGCACAGAGGTGGCTTCACGCCTTGCCACTTGAGCGAGGAGCTCACGGTTTCCAGTGGAGCTTTCCTCTTCAGAGCAGTCTTCAGGCTTTTAGGGCCTGTTTTGTTAACTCATCAAATATTTGAGGATCTTCTGTCTATGGAGCACAGCAGGTTTTTCTCTTTGTGTTGCTGATGAGCTGACGTAGACCAATCTCATTTTGCATCAGAATCACCTGGGGTGTGAGGGTGGGGCTGTTAAAACACAGGTGGCTGTGCCCCTGACCCGGAGTTTCAGAGAGAGAAGCCTCAGACCTGGGGTGGGAGTCGAGAATTTGCATTTCTAGGTAGTTCCCACGGGAAGCCGATGCTGCTGGTCCAGGACGACACTTTGAGAACCATGGATGTAGACACGAGGTGCTCCTGCCATCTGGTGGACAAGGCGGTCACTACACCAAGTAGGGAATTCAGGGGCCTGAAAGGTAGAAGCCCGGCAAACCCAGACCACGAATTTTTCTGTCGGTCACCTAAAAGCATTGGCCATCTGCACAGTTTGGAATGTGTTTGTCATCTCTTCATCTCCATCCAAGTGGTAGCTGCTGCCACCGTCACCGCTGCATTAAGACAGAATTGTATGGTACAGCCCTTACCTGCCCTGGGAAAGGTCAGCTCCAAGGGGGCCCCGGGGCTGGTGGAAATGAATAGTGTTGAGACTACTACTGACAGGCACAGAGCTGGCTCAGAATGGACAAACAGGCAAAACATGTAACGTAGTGACAGTTTCTCCTTAGGTTTCCACTCACGGGCAGCCCATCAGTTCCCAGCAAGGGCTTCCTGTTTCCATGGGCTGCCCCTCCTGGGACAGTTGCATTTAAAACGACAGGCTGAAGAAGGGTTTACAATTGGTGGGGACCTTCTGGCTTCAGCAATAGTAACTGCTGGTTCTGTGACCTCGAATGGGAAGGGAGGGAGACGTTATCACCGCCTTCAGGTGGAGAAACAAGTCGCCAGTGGAGACAGTGTAGTAGACCCTCATCATGTGTGTCCTCCTGAGCCATTTTCAGACCTCCCCCGCCCCGTCCTGAAGCGCGTCTGCCGTAAACTGGCAGGGAGAGGCGGCACAGTACTTCATTTTTCGCATTTTACATGTAATGTCGTTAGGAGAGAATAACAGCACAATAGTTCTTGGGAAAAAGGCGAAACGAAACCCACACATACATTTGAGCCGCTCCAGAGTCAAAGTAAAATAATTGCATTGATTTAAATTGCTTCAAAGAATTAATGAGATTTAGGATTAAGCCCAACTAAAACAAAATTTAATCTATAGCCAAGAAAGTTCTCTAATTGTGGCATTTTCAGTCTTTCTGAAAAGACCTAGTTCAGTTATTTAGGGGCTAATTTTCTCTTTTTTTACATATATTTTGTTGACTATGCTATTCCATTTGTCCCATTTTTTTCTCCCCTCTCCCTCCCTCCACTCTGCAGCCTCTCTCCCTCCAGCATTACTCACTCCCTCCCCCACCTTAGTTCCTGTCCGTGGGTTGTCCATATAAGTTCTTTGGCTTCTCCATTTCCTATACTGTTCTTAACCTCCCCCTGCGTATTTTGTGCCTACCAATTATGCTTCTTATTCCCTGTACCTTTTCCCCCATTTTCCCCCTGCCCCCTCCCCAGTGATAATCCTCCATGTGATCTCCATTTCTGTGATTCTGTTTCTGTTCTAGTTTGCTTAGTTTGTTATTGGTTGGTTTTGGCGGGGCAGGGGGGAGGGTTAGATGCGGTTGTTGATAGTTTTGAGTTTGTTGTCATTTTACTGTTCATAATTTTGATCTTCTTTTTCTTAGATAAGTCCCTTTAACATTTCATATAATAATGGCTTGGTGATGATGAACTCCTTTAACTTGACCTTATCTGGGAAGCACTTTATCTGTCATTCCATTCTAAATGATAGCTTTGCTGGGTAGAGTAATCTTGGATGTAGGCCCTTGCTTTTCATGACTCTGAATACTTGTTTCTAGCCCCTTCTTGCCTGTAAAGTTTCTTCTGAGAAATCAGCTGATAGTCTTACGAGAACTCCTTTGTAGATAACTCTCTCCTTTTCTCCTGTTGCTTTTAAGATCGTCTCCTTATCTTTAATCTGGGGCAACTTAATGCTGATGTGTCTTGGTGTGTTTCTCCTGGGATCCAACTTCTTTGGGGCTCTCTGAGCTTCCCGGACTTGCATGTCCAGTTCCTTTGCCAGATCAGGGAAGTTTTCCTTTATTATTTTTTCAAATAAGTTTTCAGTTTCTTGCTCTTCCTCTTCTCCTTCTGGCATAGGGGCTAATCTTCAAGAGGATTATCTATGGCCCTAGATTCTTGTCCTTTCCTTCAGGGCTGGCAAGTTTTGAAGCACTGAGCTGTTAGGAGCAAGCTGGGGCAGCAAGGAGGCCAGCTATTTGTTATGTGGCTGATCTGGAAAAAGGGTGGAGAAGGTGGGGAGGCCGGGGGACGAAGGTTCAATTTCTGGCTAACGGAGAGTTTGCTGCGCCCGTGCATGCGTGTTCCACACACCCCACTCATTTCACTCACCTGGAATACATTAGATGTGCTTGCATGTAGCATAATTTTAAAATGTTCTCATGTACCATGTGCTGTGTTTAATGACTTAGTCTAATTTTATTGGCTTACCTGATTGTGTATTTATTTTTCTCCCCAGATTTGTCTTGTGTGAGTTGTATGCCTTATCTTCTAGAACTTAATGCTTCTCAAAATAAACTGACTGCATTCTTCAATTTCACGCCACCCAAAAATCTCAAGGTAGACTTCATCGGTATACCAATTACGTATGTTAACTGGTCTGCAAAGTACGTTCATAAGCAAAATGGCATGAAAATGGGAAATTCAGAGAGCTAGGGGTAAACAGTGTATCTGAAACGAGATAAAAGGAAGGAGGACTTACGCATCATTTATTTTGGAAAATGTCTGTCCATGGGTAATCCTTTTAGGTAGCTTTGCTAAACCTAGTGTTCAAACCAAAGGACTAGCTTCCTTCTGTTCTCTCTCCCTCATTCAAATGCCAGGCGTTATTTGCATGTTTTTACAATAGCAGAATAATTTTATACGTGGAACATCTGTAACAGTTTGCCCGGGGGCTCAGATCTTGCTTCCTTGTGGATCCAGGCTTTAGTTTTCTTAGGATGCAGTGACTTCAGGCCTGCGCAGTTGCCTGTGCCTTTGTGGGGCAGAGTTAAAACTCTCCGGGGGCCGCGGTGGGCGGAGCAGCGAGCTCCGCTGTGGGCCTCTACGTCACGTGCTGCAGCACGCACGGGGGATCAGGGGATCGCCTGGGCTTCTGATGGAAATGAGATCCTGAGCCGGACGTCTGGGGTGGGGCTCGGGAGGGCGATTTTTAACCAGGTGATGCTGTTGCTGCTGGGCCTAGACGGTACGTAAGCAGAGAGGGCGTGGGGTAGCGGTTTCCAGACTTTTCCGCACACCGCAGTCGCCCGGGGAGTTTTCACACCACCCATGCCTGGACCCTGCGGCCAGAGATGGCTGCACTTCGGGGGCTCAAAGGTGCTGATGAATTTGGGAACCAGTGCCATCGAGCGTGGGATTCGTGTGCCTCTACTAGACTGAAATATTTAATTTAAAAGTGTTTTTTAGGAATAGTTTAGGAGCTATTGCCTTTTATTAGCTACTGGTTTTGTTTTATTTACCAACCAAATTAACTTAGATCCATAGTACTCTGACGGCGTTTGCACAAATGTGGAATCCGACATCTGTCCTACCAGTGAGACAGCTCTCTGGTTTTCCTTTCTTTGTTCACATGACTCCACTTGCATCAGCCGTGGGTTTTTCCCCCTTTGAAATCGCAGTGATTGCCAGGGTGGCGTTCCTCTGTCCCGGTAAGCTGCCCAGGGAGCCTGTTTGTACACAGCGTGGGTCTGTGGTGCCGGGTTACTGGGAATTGTATTGGCAGAGCCACTCCATACCCCCTCCTTGGCCTTCCCCGCTCTGCCCTAGTCCCGGGGAAATCTGTCAGTCAACAGCGTGACCTCTGCCCTGGAAGAACTTCTGTGGAGCTTCTTCCCTTCACACCCTTATCCACACCCTCACCTCACTCTCTCTCAAACACTCCACAAATGTATCAAAACATCAGATAACCCCAGCTTTGTTTATTTGTTTAGAGACATTTTAAGTTCATAGCAAAATTGAGAGGAAGGTATCAAGATTTCCCACATTCATCCTGCCCCCACTGGGGTGCTCCTTTTGTTACAGTCGATGAACCTAAGTGACACATCATTGTGTCCCCAGGTCGACGGTTTATGTTAGGGTTCCCTCTTGGTGCGTCCATGCAGGGGTTTGGACAGATGTGTAATACAGGCACCCGTCATTGTGGCAGATGCCCCATCCTTAGCGTCCCTGGAGAATGGGAGCGAATGTCCCCGGAACTTGAGAGCAGCACCAGACCCCCGGTGAGAGGCTCTCGGAGCTCCGTGGGCAGCCAGGAGGGGAATGACGGAGGCTCTGGCGTTATCAGTGCATCACCATATTTAATCTCCCAGCAAAGATGCAAGGTGACTGGAAGGGTCCCCTTTTGCAGACGAGGACACTGACGTACAGAAAGGTTAGTCATCTAACAGCCTTTACTGGGAGGCAGCAGGGCTGGCATTGAACTTGATACCGGCAACCCAAAACCCAGAGCGGGCCCGTAAAGCAGGCTTGCATCCAGTGCCCCGCCCTCTTGGGGGGCTCTGCTCCCTTTTCTCTTGCTGTCTGTGAGCCTGCACCACCAACCGGAGAGAGGACACATTTCCTAACGAGCAGGGACTTGCATGTCACCTCTGTGTTTCCTAGAATGTTTTTGCTCAGTGAGTGACTTGGTGGGCACTTCCCACAAGCTCTGGGAGTCGGTGGGACTCCCCCGGGGGGTCAGAGCCATCCCTGCCCTTTGCAGGTCTCCCAGCACTTGTGACGGGCCTCACGGGCGTGGGCGGATAGATGCAGCAGGGAGACACGTGCCACGGCACAAGACACGCAAGGTGGGGCTGAAGAAGTGCCCGTTTTCAGTAGCTCAGATGATTATAAACTCCTAGTTTGTCACTATTATGTAGAAGGAAAAGGGAGCAGGAAGTTCCACCGACATCATGCCAGACTGACGTCTTGGTTCAGCATGATAGGATTTTGCGTAGTTGCAGTTTGTGCATGCGTGAGGTTTCGTGTTCTGATTTGTTTACTGAACGCTGTCTGGGGGGCGCGTTTCCGGCCTTCCCGGGGTTCCCCTGCGCGGGCTGGGCGGACGGTGGATCTAGCCCCAGTGCTGTTAAAATCGACTTAACCAGGCTTCCGGCCTGCCGCTTGGGCTGTTGCCAATGTTGTTTTTTTTTTTTAAAGAACTCAGTATTTCAGGTTTTAAGTATTTAGTATTTACTGCATTGCCAAAATAATTGTACATTTTTGAGGGTGGAACCACTGTTTTAAAGGATACAAGAAGATAAGAATGGTGGTTTATATAACTTTCATACTTTTCCAGAAAATACAAATTAATCAATGCAGTGTTTCCAAAAAGTTAGAATTTTTTTTCCTTTTAAAAAAAAATCACTTTCGTGTATGTTTTACCAGCAGGTGAATAATTAAAGTTATTTAATGTCGTATTTCTCTAATCTCATATTTTTGAGTGGGCGCAACTGACGTTGCTGAAAACGCTTTCCTGAAATAGTCCATTTTGAGGAAGGGTGTTAAGTTGAAGAGCTATGGCCTGAGGGGTGAATTAGGAAGATTTTTCTGGCATTAGGAGGGTGAGGTGGAGAATGTATTGTGATAAAAATAGAAAAGGCAGAGAAACTCGATCTGTGTGTAAACTAAGTGAACACAGTTTGCTGGGCATTAGAGAGTCTGGAAGACAGGTGGTAAGGGGGAAACAGGTGAGTCCTGAAGGAAGACGAGGAAAGTTTACAGCAAACGCTGACACTGACACGGAGAGAGGAGCTGGAGGGGCTGAGCGCTGGGGTTGGGGCATCTGCTCTGGCTGCGGGGAGAGGTTAAGGTTAGAAGTTAGGCATGACCTGTATGGCCCCTGGTAGACAATGATGAAGCCGACGTGACTATTTTAGCTTTCGTGTGTTTTCCCTAAAGAATTCTAACTCTACACCCAGAAACACATTCTGATATGCATTGAATTATTGTGGTTAAGAGGACTGAAAAATAAAGTATGACACACTGTTTCTTTTTCCTCACAGAAGGCCGATTTTTCCAGCAACCAAATTTCTGAAATGGGCAATTTGTCGGCATACGAGGCTCTCACGACACTAATTTTGGACAGTATCCTTTGCTAAGTAAAGAGGGAAATTTGGTTAATAGGCCCATTAGTAAGTGTGTGTATACCAGATGGCATGGAATACTTACTACCACATAAGCAATTTACTAGAGATGTGTGACTCATTAAAATAATTAAGAATTAATCATCACAAAATGAAGAAAGATGTTTTATTTACGAAGGACTAAGACTTTGTAAAAGCTTATCAAGAGCATTTTATTCCTGAAAAGCTAAGCGAGACCGTCATTCTAATAAATGTAGGCTTATTTTTAATTCTAGAACCAAATAAGTTCTGTTTGAACTGACTCCTTTTCAAATTTACTTAAACATGTACCTTGTATAAATTCAGTGTCTGAAAATCCAGATACGGCCGTTATGAAAATCAGCAATTATTTATTTTACAAAAGCATTCATATTAGATTCCCTTTAAATAGCAAGCTTCTCCATTATATTTAAAATACACTTTCATTTAAAAATATAAAAACCACTTTTGATTTGCAGCCAAGCCCAGGAACAGATCCGCTGCCAGAGTCAGGCTCCCACGCAAGCAGCCCCCACTCTCAAGTGGGCGTGCTCCAGCTTCTGGGGCCGAAGGGGTTCACTGGGGTATCTCTGTGCGTTTAATGAGCTCCAGTGTCTTCTGTACACCAGAGACCGCCGTCCTCTGGGCGATGGAGGACGGCGCCCTCTCGCTCTCAGGGAGGTTCTCTCTGTCCCATTCCCCCAAGGGTGTTCAGGGCGGAGTGGAGAATGAAGGGACTGGCTCCAGCGCCAGTGCCATTCTTGGGCTGTTGCATCAGCACATGCGCACTACGCATGAACTGGGGGATGCGGGGAGGAGGGGAGCTACGTTAGGAAGGAAAAAATCGTTCTGCACTTTTGCTGGAACGCTTAGGATAGCACCACGCCCTTTAGAACTTCGGTGTGAAAATGAATGATTAGTGGACAGGATTTAAGAAATGTAAAAACACCACGGGTAGAGGAACATTGTCGATTAAAAGGATCTCTTTATGTTGCTTATGAGTATGAAATTGGTTCAACCACTTTTTTTTTGCCAAGATAATTTATTTTCTTATTATATATATTTTTAAAATTTTGTTGTATTTTTCTGTTACCATTTAACCCCCTTATACTCCGCTCCCCGCTGCAATCACCACACTGCTGTTCCTGTCCACGAGTCCTTTTTCCTTTTTGCTCCCTCCCTGCACCCGCAACCTCCTGGCACCCCCCCAGAAGCTGCCATCCTGCTCTCTGTGAGTCTCTCTCTGGTCCAACTAGTTGTGAAAACCACTCTCCACCATCTTGTGAAGTTGAGCATCCAAGTTCCCTGTGACCTAGAGTTTTCATTCCTGCATTTGGAGGGGTTAGCACGTGTGCACCTGGAGGTGTGTGTAAGAAATACTAATGGCAGCTTCACTTGTCGTAGCAGAAAACTGAAACAGGCCTGATGCCCGCGGATACGAGAAAGCATAAACTGTGGTGTACGTACACAACGGCATGTTCCACCGTAGTGAAAAGGATGATATATACTCCCGTGCAGCAGTGAGGAGAGATCGTAACAGGCTAAACATAACTCGGGTGTCAAACCAGTGGGAGAGGGGAGAGGAAAGAGACAAGCAATGTAGTGAGTGTGTCCAAGAAGGGCACCAGGAAGACCCAGGACAGGGACACAGGTTACTGCCGTCGTTCTGCTTCCTGGGCTGGGGGTGGGGTGACAGCGATGGTGATGGCTTCGGAGAGTGTTCATTATATTTTTAAACGTAAATAAAAAGCAGGCCATATATGGGCCAGTGGCATTCCTATGCCAGCGAACACATCTAAAAGCCTGAAAATGAGGAATTAATTTCTTTAAAAACAAGCATTTACCAAGCGTCACAGGTCAGCTGCATCAGAATGCCCTGGAGGGTTTCTCCAAACGCCTGTTACCGCCCCTGCTGAGTTGGTCTGGGGCGGCGCCCAAGGTTGTACGTTTCTAACAGGGCCCAGGTGACGCTGACATTGCTGGTCTCAGGACCGCGCTTTGAGATCCTCCGCTCGAAACTAGTCGGTCCTCTCTGTTACACCTCGCAAGGCACACTTTCCTACTCCGATGGCCTCAGACGGTTGACTGTTACCTTTTCTGTACTTTTTGTGTTTGTTCAAGCTTTCCTTATGGGTATATATGAGTTTTCTACTTAAGGGGGGAAAGGTGCACTTTTCTTTAAAAGAAAGTTAAATAAAAGTAACTATCAAAGTAAATAAACAACACAGAACAATTATTTAAAAGCAAATCAGTTGTTAAAACTAGTAATGCTGATAATGTGATTGTAGTAGATCATATTAATACACCAGAATGAATTAACTGTAAGGTATGCACTTCGTCATTTATTTTCATCTGCTGTTTTGTCCTTTCCTATGTGGATAACTGATGCTTAGTTAATAATCACCCTAAATTGCAAGATGATGAACTTTGCCAAATGTATGTAAATTTACTTATTCCTGAGAAAGGATACACAAATTTACTTATTCCCGAGAAAGGACTGCTTGTCTCCTTTACAATTGCAGAATTATGAAATTTAACAACAATTCGTAGAATTTTTAAATCCAGACAGGCTTTTAGAGATCACCCAGTACTAGCTGCTACGTTTATGGAGGAAGAGCCCGAGACTCAGGGAGACTCCAAGAACTGTGTAGATTACTCTGAAAATGGTTGAACTGAGACTAGTGTCTTAAATTCCATTGTTTTCCCCAGGTTGCAATTCACTGAGCAATTGCTCCTTTTATCCCTTCGCCATTTAAAGTGTATGCCTCTTTCATTTCTTAGAGAATTTCATTCCTATAGGGAAGAACATTTTTCACTGGCAAGGTGATACAGATCTTTCAGGATTGGTTCTGATTAAAGCCATCATGGCTGGTCTCCCCACTAAGAGAATCGTGATAGATTTCCAGGATTTCGCAGTAGCTGCTTTCTGTACACCCGAACCATATTTTTCGATCAGAGACAAACGAAGAAGAGCGAATACCGAACTAGTGAATAATTTATGTCAAGAGCTTCAAGCCGCTAACCACCAAAGTGTTAAAAATCGCATCGCTGGGCTTTTCCCCAGCTGTGAAGTCCCACCTGGGTGCCGCTGGCTTCCTACACTGTGTTTCCTGGAGGATCTAAAATTCCGTGAAAGAGATTTAGCCACAGAACAAAAAGGCTTTAGGCCTGGAATGCAATATGATAATGTTGGGTTCTTTGAGGCTCTTTCTCCGGATAGTGGCCTTTTTATACCTGAGAGGATTAACCCAGTAAGCTAATTCATTGGAATAGTTCATTGCTTTATCAGATTACATTTCTTCTTATCCAAAAGTCCCAAGACCTAAGAAAGGATGTGGAAGAATAGTGTCAGGAGGAAGTGTCAGGAGGAAGGGCAAGTAACATTTTACAAAGGGTCTTCAAATGAGAAAACGAGCGATTGGGGAGGTAAAGGTATTCCTTCCCGATGGCAAGCCATGCACTCAGCTCTGTGCAAACTGCATCCTGCAAGCTGACCATTGTCACTGCTGGCAGTCAGGAAAGAGGGGACTGTGGGAGCCACTAGGGAGGAAGCTGCTGTGCCACTATAAAAACACACACACAAAAAAACCCTACTTCTTCCTCAAGAACCTCCTTCATTTATAGTGCCTGAAACACCCAGAAACCTATAAGGGAATGAATAGTTGGGAAATGACAAGTTTTCTGAAATGGACTTATTTCTCCATAGAAGTGTTCAGTCAATCCTGGTGCTATGAGCGCCGGCCACAGCAGCTGCCCGAGCCCCTGTTACGATTGAAGTGGCGCATCTGTATTTCTCCTCCTTTGGCCCTGGCAATGCCAATGCCATGAAACAGGCCTCCCCATTCTGGTCAAAGCCAGGCAGCTGCAGGTACCGAGGGGACCGCGTTTAGCCTCCAGTGCCTTGGAAAACGGGTGTGTACGCAGTCAACACGCCTTCCTTTTCAATTCCCGTCACCTCTCCGTGGTGCCAGGGTTCCTGTTTCCCAGCTTTCTGGTCCTTGCCTGCTCCCCACGGGGCTGCTTCCCGGCTCAGCCACCCACACGCACGCGTGACACTGTATACTCGGTCATAATTCACAGGATCTTCGCTTCAATTGGAGCGCAGCCACCAGGACGCGAGGGCTCCTGAAACGGGACCTAATGACTGCTGCTAAACCCAGACAGATGGCCCTTTGAAGCTCTTCTTGCCAAAGATGGCCTCCTCGGAGGATGTTTCATTCTACTTACGGCCGTATGAGAGTTTAATCTCCTGTTTTCCATGTTCTACCTCCTTTGTTACAACCGATAGCTGCAAAGACCTGGTCTCTGTTTCAGTAACAGAAGGATTCTTTAAATCGCCTAAGAAAAGGGAAGCAGAAAGGAGCGTAGTGTCGGTGAGCATGGACGTGCGTTTGCAGGGCCGTTCTGGCGGAACATTTTATGAAAGCAGATTTGAAAATGCATATTGACAGCAAACAAACTGGTTTTGCCCAATAAAACTGAATCTGAATGGTACCAATGAGGAAAATCTAGAAATTTCAGGTTGATTTGGCAAATTTTCTCATCATTGCGCCTAGTTTCCTGACTTGCCCCTTTCTGCAGCCTAGTTCTTTTCAGAATCGATCCTGACCTTGAACCTTCCATTTCGTGCTGTCAGCCCAGTGGCAGAGGCTGTGACCCCTTGGCCTCAGGTGCTTCTAAGCCAGTACAGAAACAGCGCCCTCTACTGTAGGTGTTTGATGGTTCGTGCAGCTCATTCACACCCATTTCCTAGTTTGTTTGTTTTTTTTTTTTTGCACAATCAGAGCAGAGAGAAGTTAACTCACACAACTTGTAAGTAGCAGAGTTAGGATAACGACTAATAATTATGAGGCAAAATGTATGTTTTTGTGACGCTATGATCCCTTCCTTACTCTTTGGAAAACTGACTCCATGGTGGTCGACTCCATGCTGCATGGAAGCGGATAGCGGGGGGGCGGGGCTAGCAGCTGAACGGACGAGGCTCTAAGGAAGAAGTGGTTTGTCGAGAGCGGGTACCAAGAAGTGGGGCGGGGCTGCTGTGGCCTCCTCACACCACGTCACCTCCGAAGTGGCTCATCATAAGGAATCCTCACCCAGTAATATCATCCTGTCTGTTCTTTCCAACCCTTGAAATGTTTGAACCTTTTGTTTGCCAATGTTTGAACCTTTTATGTTTGCTAAGCTCATGGTGAAGGGTACCTTGTCTTAATTTGTAAAGTGTCTTTTTACATGTCTGTTAGCCACTTAGATTTGCTCTCCTAGGAACCTCCTGGAAATATACTGAACACTTTCTTTCTATGTTTTCAACAGGGGTTGGCGGGGAGGGTTTAGATTTTATTTATTTATTTTTAGAGAGAGGAGAAGGGAGGGAGAAAGAGAGGGAGAGAAACAACAATGTGTGGTTGCCTCTCGTGTGCCCCCAGTTGGGGACCTGGCCCACAACCCAGGCATGTGCCCTGACTGGGAATCGAACTAGCAACCCTTTGGTTCACAGACCGGGATTCAATCCACTGAGCCACACCAGTCAGGGCTCACCAGGGTGGTTTTGTCTTTTTTTCCCCCATTAGTTTATGGCTCTTCTTTATCTTTTGTCTACTACATATGTTGTGAGTATGTTCTTCCAATCTGTCATTTGTACTTATGTAATTAAAAAGTAAGAAAAAAAGGAAATGAGGTTATCTATCAAAAATAAATACTGAAGATGTTGGTTGGATATGAATGTTTGAAAAAAGGAAAAGCCAAAGCAGAATTTAAAATTGAGCCCGAGGAACTGGCAGGGCTTGGGAAGGAGGAGGAGAGAGTCACAAGGCCATCCGGGTGTTCCGCAGCCGTTGAGAACACCCACCTGGCAGAAGCGGAGAATTCTCATGGGTTATGAGGGGGAAGAAGTTGAATAAATAGGTTTTGCTCAAAGTGAAGAGCCTGAGTGAGAAATCTGGAATTCGTCCTATGAGAATTGTTTGATTGAAGCTTAATATGCAATCAACATTTTGAAAAAAATTAACCTGACTACAGTGTATAAGGTGACTTGGGGACAGGAGGTTAGAGGTGCCCGTCGGTGCTAAAGCTTAATTAAGTTGGCAGAGGAGTGAATGAAAATAAGGGAATAATTAAAGATACGTTTTAAGGGGGAAAAAAACCCCCAAAAAACAAAAAAGCCGGGTTTTGGCAAGGGATTCTTGAAGGTTACAAGTGGCCGAGAAAACAGTGATGTCGTAGGCGACTTGGGAGGGAAAACTGAGCTTTGGTGGGGAAATGGCATCAAACCCTGGACAGTGTCCGAACAGATTTGAGGACCTAGAGGGGTGAGGAGAATGGGGTGACTTTGAGATTACAGTTTCAGGTGCCTGCAAGGACAGAACACGGAAGTAAAATTTTAGCAACGACTAGAAACTTAGTCAGTGGACGGGGAGATCAAGGCAGAGCGGTGGTTTCATTTATTCTAAAAGGAGAGGGCTCTTCCTGTCCGCGTCAGGGCAGTGGTTTCTCTGCACTGCCCTCTGCAGCAGATGCCTCTTCCCAGGCAGGCGCTCTGGCTGTGCCCGGGGTAAAGCCTGCTGCGTGTTGCCCCTCCGGGACGACTCTGTTCAGAAGTCCCGCCCTGGGGGAAGCACTTGACCTTCTTGGGGAGACCTCAGGACCCAAGGCAAAGCCCGCTGCCGAGGAGGCAGCTGGGTGCAAATGTGAGCGTGTGCATGTACACACACACACACACACACACACACACACACATAATGTGCCTTTAGAGAGTTAATTGTAAGTCATGCTAGTGTTAACTTCCATATGAAACCTCTATTTCAGGATTTACTGATCAGCCTGTATTAGCATGTATTACTGCTCTGTTTTCGCCCTGGTCTGATTTAACGCCAACTTTTTTTCTCTCAAATGTTTTCACAACATTTTCCTTAAACATAGTCCTGGTACACAGGCAACGAGGTAGAAGAGATCTGTGGGCTGGAGCTGTGCAGCAGCCTGACCCGCCTCAGCCTGGCCCACAACAAGATCGCGACGATCAGCGCCCTGGAGGTGTTACCCATCAAAATACTGTGCCTGGTGAGTCCGACAGAAAGTGTTCTTCTTTAGACGTACGAGTCAACACTTCAGTACGTGTATGAGTTACAAGATTACTTACGAATTTTCAGCTTTACGGAGAAAGAATTCTTTACTGATATGTTCTTGTCCTCAGTTGGCTTGCTCCTTTCCGTATCTGGCGTGTGAGTGTGTGTGTGTGTGTGTGTGTGTGTGTGTGTGTGTGTGTGTGTGCGCAACATTTTATGCCAGTGGAAAATGATTTTCTAACTTGGTACCCAAGTTTAATTTTTCAAAAGACTGACTTTTTACATGGAAAGAGAGGTTTACTCCTAACAATTCAAGACATTTTACAATGTCTTATTGGTGAAATAACATTTAAGCATATTTGAGCATTGTATTTATTGCTGTTCACACTCTTCCTTTCAAATGAGCCCCAAGATGTTCTCCGGGCACTGAGTTTTTGCCGTCCTTTCATGTTAATATATGCTAGGTTCCCCTTCTCACAGCCGAGATAAAGGGACAGTTCCAATCAGAGTGTTTAAACTTGTTTATTTCTTCCCCATAGAGAGCACTCTTTTTTAGCTGTGTGTAACTTGCTATGTGACTGTGACTCAATGGAAATGCAGATAACTTACAAAAAATCAGCAGGATCATAATAGTCCCACATACGCCGCATTTTTGGAATAACATCATAGCTCAGTACTTCGGGGGCTGATAATATTCTTGCTGGGTCATCCATTTTTTCTTCCTCCTCTCCTCTTGCCTCCTACCTCTTAACCTTGGATGGCTCTGCTGTTCTTTATTGTATCTGTCAGAAGGTGGGCAGGGAGGATTTTGAGCCATGAGGCTGGTAGCTTATAAAATTCCTAAGCGAACTCTCCCGCAGCAGAGCATTGAACTGTTGTTTGAAATATCTTGGGTTTCTGCAGAGTTGTGACATACACAATATACTGCCCCTGTCTTATTTAACCATGGCTAGCTGATGGATGGCTGTATGTTAGCTCACCCCCGCCACCCACCAGCTTGGAGGGTGACGTGCATTTTTAAGAGCCCTCACTCCTTACAGTGAGTTAGGAGAGGGCAGAGGACTGGTTCCCAGGACTGGGAATGGACATGAGGCGTGGGAACGTTTCATCATCCCCGCTAAGGTTTCATGTTTTTCGCCCACCAAGGCCTATCAGCAAAGCATAAATGAAAATGAACTTGATAAGTTGGATTGCAGGTTTAAGAATTGCTTTAAAATCACATTGTGCAGTTTGGTAGTTTGAAGGGTCATTGGCCGGAGGTGCTGCTCCGTGTGAACCTTATCCTTTTCTCTCCACGTCTGCCTGTATCGGCGTCCCCATCCGCTTTAGGTGGAGCTTGATGTGTCGAAAGCCATCTGGGGTGCGCTTACGGGACCGAGAGCGGAGCTCATTATTAAGAATGCCATCACGTAGCACTTTCATCCTGAGAGTTTGTTTCAGTAAAGAAGTAATCCACGTTGCTAGTTTCGGGTCTAAGGTAGCTTTGGGACAAAGCATAAAAGGTTTATTTTTTTGCTGCAGATGGATTGGGTGGATGTTTCCCAATCCCTGCCCACACTACCCAAGACAAACTAGAACATACAGGATATGCTATCATTCCTTTTCGAGAATAGGAAGATTTTCTTTTCCATGTGTTAATAAAATGTAAAGTAAAATGACACACATTTGTTTCAACAGTTTTTTTAAAATTATATTTTATTGATTATTTTATTACAGTTATCCCAATTTTTCCCTTTTTGCCTCCCTCCACCCAGTACCCCCCACTCCCTCAGGCAGCCCCCACGCCACTGTCCGTGGGTCATGGGTATAAGTTCTTTGGCTGCTCCGTTTCCTACACTGCCCTTTACATGCCCATGGCTATTCTGTGACTACGTATTTGCACTTCTTAATCCCCTCACCTCTGCACCCATTCCCCCACCCCCTCCCATCTGGCAACCATCAAAACACTCTCTGTGTCCATGATTCTGTCTCTGTTCTTGTTTTCTTAGGTTTTTTTTTTTTTAAGATTCAATTATTGATAGATATTTTTTGCCATTTTATTATAGTTTTGATCTTCATTTCCTTAAATAAGTCCCTTTAACACTTCATATAATAATTGTTTGGTGATGATGAATTCCTTTAGTTTTTTCTAGTCTGGGAAGCTCTTTATCTGCCCTTTGATTCTAAATGATAGCTTTGCTGGGTAGAGCAATCTCAGCTGTAGGTCCCTGCTTTTCAACAGTTTTTAATGCTTTTATGTGTTTAATTCGTGGGCTCAGAAAACCAATTGCTTTACTATTGAAAAGTTTCTTTTACAATTTAGAGAAAAAAGAACAATTCACTGTACACACCGAGAGTGCACTGTCTACCATCATCTTTGGTGATAAATGTAAGGGGAGTACGATTCCCTGGTGGGCTATCGTGGCCAGCGCTTCCCTTAGCGAGGACGGTGCATTTTAAATTCTGAAACTCATTTTGCCTCAGTAAGAACCATGCGTTGTTTTTCTCCCAAACTGGGAGATGAGTATTTCTCGATTCATTCATTTAAGGAAATGGCTTCTCTCCCCTTTACCTGCTGGTCAAGGCAGGGAGCTGCTGGTGCAGACACTGGTTGTCCCCTTTGCGGGCCGATGTGTCCATTTCTCAAAAGCACTGGATAAAGGGTTTGACTAGATGACCTTCAACTCAGAAACCCTGTGATTCCGAATATTTCTCAGTTCTGCCTTCTTTATGGCCGTAGGCCACCTCATTAAACTTTTCAACGCCTCACTCGACTCCCAGGCACCCACCCTTTTGAAAGCCTTTGGAGACACCGTAAAGATGGATGCAGGCCCTCCCCCACCTCCCGGCACTTCAGAGTTCTTGGCAAAGAAGGACAGTGTATATAAATTAGACATGTGAGCGTATTTTAAATAGGATATTGAGGTCTTATTTCAATACATTAAGTTAATATGGATATTATGTTCAGTTTAGTGTCATTTTTTCTTTTCCATTACACTTTCTAGAACTTGTTTGAACTCTGAACAGTAGGAAATTTGACTTAACTTCGGCAAATGAGGTCGTGAGCATTTTCCTTCTCACAGAATTTTTCGAACACACATAAAAATAAAGAAAATTGTTTAATGAGCCCCCGTGTACTACCGGCCAGCTTTATAGGTCATCAACATTCTGTTAATATATTTTAAAGAGCCATAAATTAAGCCAATGATCACAAATCTTGCTCATTATTGAAGTTAGATCTTAAGAAAAAAAGGATGAAAATGAGTTCTTGCTATTAAATGTACCAGGAAAAAATCTTATACAAGAAGAGAATATTGTGGTTTAATTTTTCTAGTTCATAAGTGCTTATTAAAAGTTTTAAAAGTTTAAAGATGGGCAGAACTGCATTAATTGAAACCTCAAAATTCTCATTAGTAGGATTCTCACCTTAAACTAAGTTTAATTTTACTGCCACATATTTTTTTTTTAATTTTATGTATTTATTTTTAGAGAGAGGGAGAGAAACATCAATGTGGGGTTGCCTCTCACGCACCCCCAACTGGGGACCTGGCCCACAACCCAGGCATGTGCCCTGACTGGGAATCGAACTAGCAACCCTTCGGTTCATAGGCCGGTGCTCAATCCACTGAGCCACACCAACCAGGGCACTGCTGCATATTCTTATACCTCAAGGTTAAGGACCTAAGGTTAAGGACCCCAAGGAGCTATGACTATGTTGGAAAATGTACAAGACAGTGCAAATTGTCGTTATCACCATTGTTTGTCCTTATGGGCACTTGGGGGTTGGGAAAGAGGACAACGTTTGAGTCTTGAATCTTTGTTTTATGCTCATTGTCTGAGAAGATATTTATGCATGATTTATTGAAGAACTTACTTTAGTGGCATGGAGAAATTTTATTAGCTAACCATTTTTTTAGCTAACAGTTCTACAGCCTGAGCTGGGATCCGCTGGGTAGTTCTTCTGCTGCTCTTGCCTCATTCAGCTGGCAGAGCGGCTGGGTCTGGGCCCGGCAGGGATGCTGGAATGACTGGGTTTTTCCTCCGTATTTAGTCTCAGGACCCTTCTCCATGCGACCTCTCCTTTTCCATGGGACCTCTCCCCAAATTCTGCCCAGCAGAGCAGCCAGCATTCTTACACTGCTGCTCAGAGCTCCCAGACACAACGGGAAGCTGCCAGGCCTTCTTAATTCTTAGACTTGGACTTAGACTTACACTCCTGCCGTATTCCTTCGGTCAAGACAAGTCATAGGCCCAGCCCACCTTCCTGAGGCGGGAGCCTCACAGGAACACGAATAACTGAAGGCTGGTGTCACACCCCCGCAGCCCTCGTGATATGAAGTGATTGTATTCAGAACGTTGCTGAGGACAAAGTATATGTGCAAAGTACAATATTCCAGTAGTTTGCTGTGATGCTGATGGAAGAACCGCACTGATTTTTTTCTGAAAGCGAACATGGCGCTATGCTATCGTTAGGTTTGAGATGATTCAGTATCACCTAGTTTGTATCCCACTGATCTGAATGTTCTTCTAGCCTCAGCTTGACTGAGTACATTCTGAGTCTTCCAGTGGAGAAGTTGGGCTGTATGTCTGTGTGTTCGGGGAAGCGAGTGATGGAAACGGGGGGCGGTGGCCAGAATGGCCCCCGGACTTGGAGAGTTTCGGGGGCCGTGTTCAGAGTGACAAGTTGTCAGTACTCCTTTTCCTGGGGAGGCCTTTCAGACACTGAGTGTCTTTGATCGGTTTCAGAGCCATAACCGGATTGAGACGATCACGGGCCTGGATGAACTGAAATTCCTCCAGATTGTGGACTTGTCCCACAATCAGATCAGCAGCCTCCAGGGCCTGGAGAGCCACGACTTCCTGGAAGTGATCAACCTCGAGGACAACAAGGTAACGTCACGCTGCCCGTGTGTCTGCGTGAAGGAGATGTATTAGGACCCGTCCTTAGTTGCCCGAGGGCTGTCCCATTAAATGCCCGCTTAGACATGCCACTCTGGGAAACCTGGAGCAGTGGTGGAAGAAGGCCTTTAAAAAAAAACACTCCTTAATTTTTGAAAATTTGATCATTTCTAATTACATTGTGTGACAGGTTTCCACTGCAACCAAGGGCACATGATTTTCTGAAGTAGACACGTTTGTGGGAAATTTTGTGTAGAAAGACAGCATTAGAAACGCCTGAAATGGCGAAGCAGAGAAACCGCAGACGTGAAAGTAGCCTCAGGCCGGCGTTGCCCGAGCCTGCCGCTGGCGGAGGCGCAGGAAGCGGGTTCTCGTGTCCCGTGGGTGACCACCGTGCACGCTCCCAATCCGTGTGGGCTGGGGATCGGGCTGACTCACATTTCTGTATCTGGCTTCGTGTTCAAATGACATAAATTGGCTTTCACTCTTAATCATACTTTCTTTTGAATGAAGTAGTTGTACTTCTAATCATGGTATATTAAGTTGGTACCTGTAGCTGATTTCTTATGCAGTAAGATCCACAGTAAAATAGGATTTTACTCATATTGAGTACCTTATCACATGTTCAGAAAAGATTTCACAAGAAGATGGAATGTTTATTTCCTCTTGAAAAGTGCCAAGCGCGGCTGACCCTGCAGGGGAGGGGGACACGGGCCCTACTTGGGGTGGAGGTGTGTTCCTCTGTTCAGCCCCGGCAGCTCGGAACTTCCAGCCTCCGCTAAGTTGGTAAGAACCCGGACAAGGCCGTCTTGGGGTCTGAGGAGAAGTGGGTGTGTAATTACACAGACAGAGCCGTGCACCTTCACTCCCACGTGATTCGTGAGTTAGATTGTTTTCTCCACTCCGGAAGTCAGTCCTGATGGATGACGTCTGTCCACTGTGCCGTGTATCTTGTGAGGTCGGCACAGTCTCTCTTTCATCTGATTTCAGTGTCTTTTTCACGGAAGTGCCCTTGGTGTGACTCTCACTCGAGGGCGGGGGACCTTGGAGAGGAGGCACAGGCCTTACCTTAGTGATGCAAATACCGACACTGACAATCATGTTGCAGAACAATCGTGCCAGTTGCTGCGCACTTACCCACGAGGCGCTGTTCTGAGCACTTTGCATAGATCTCACTTAGTTCTTATTATAGAACTCTATTACTGTTGCTGTGTTATAGAAGAAACTGGGACAGAGAGAGGTTAAGTGACTTGTCCGAAGTTATTTATCCAGCAAATAGCAGTGCCAGGATGCAGACAGAGGCCGGTCGGCCTCTGGGGTCGGTGTCCTGACCCTGCAGGGCTAACGGCCCCTCCTCTCAGAAAAGGGTAAATGCCTCAGAAGAGCATTTTCTGATAAAAATATAAGAGAAAACATAAATGGGTATGCAATTTTAAATTTTCTAGTAGCCACAGTCAAGAGGTAAAAAGGCACAGGTGAAATTAATTTTAAAATACTACCATTTCAACTTATAATCTACGTACAAAATTACTAATAGAATGTTTCATTCTCTGCTGCTTCACACGAAGGCTCTGATGTCTGGCGTGTATTTTACACTACAGCACATTTGGAGTCACCCTAGCCGTGTGCCCAGGGCTAAGGTGCCGCTGTGGCTCGTAACTACCATCCTGGATAGCGCTGGTCTAGAAAGACCTCACAAATAATACATTGTTCTCTTCCATGTCAAGAGACTTCTCAAATTACATTGGAAACAGTTTAAGGAAAAGAGTGAGTGAATAAAGGAGTGTATAATTTTCAGATATTAAAGAGACGCCACTTAAAAAAAAAAGTGGCCACATTTCCCAGAGGTGGGGATCCTGGGGTGCTCGCTGCGCTTGCAACAATAACACGATTCCCTGGCTCCCCCGTGGGCAGGGTGGGGAGCAGCCAGCAGCACCGTGAAATATTCTCAGGGCCATGCAGACATTTCCTCGGAGACTTCTCCAGGACTGCTGAGAGGGCTGCGCATCAGGGATGGAAAATTCATCGTTTAAAAAAAAAAACATAACATCACCACAGCTTCTCACATGATTAATCTGATGCTGGGAATATCATTTCATTGGTATCACCTTCATCAGTGTTATTTACTTGGTTTTAGCTGTTGAGACATTGCCGTCCTTCGTGTGATCATTTAAACATCTGTTACATTCCTTAGCAAACGCTTCTCACCCACTCGTGATTTGGGGACCTTTGTCACTGTCTACTCTGTAGTCCCTGTTAGATTGGGTGTCACTTCCAGCACTTGAACTTTATCCCAGAGATGTTACTTAGAGAATGCCATTTTACTTTTCTGAGACCTAGGGTCATCATTTCGCAATCGTATGTCTGTCTGTCTCTCTACCTCTATCTCTCTGTCTGTCTTTAAAAAGAGTTTTGCTAGGCCCCATCACGTCTGGATGTAAGCCTTGGCGGGCACAGCCCAGAAGGAAATGGCAAACAGAGTCATCTAAACTAGTCTGCCTGGGAGGTCCAGGCTGCCAGGCGTCCGGAGGTGGGGAGTAGCCACCAAGCAAAGAAAGTTCGAGAAGAGGGGCAGGCTGGAATCCGGGGACCGGCTGTGCTGATGTGACATTCTTAGCAGCAGATGGCCGAACTTCCTTTCCGAATATAAGCTTGCTGGCAGCATTTCGCTCTAGGTCATTTGGGGTGCAGCGCCCCCATGCCGTATGTAATCATCCGTGACGCACACAGCCTCCGGTCCTGGCATTCGAGGAGAGAAGGCGCGAGGGAGGCTGGGTTGACTGGGGGTGAGGTCTCAGGAGAGGGCCGGTGGGCGCCTGCAGGACGGCCAGTGCCCGGCGCACGCTGTCCCTCCCCAGCCGTGGGAGCCGGAGGCTGCGCACACGCTCCCCTCCGCCCTCAGCAGCCCCATCCTTCCTTTGGAAGGCCTGGGAGGGGAACTGGGCTCCGTGGTTTTGACTCTCAAAGGCCGGTGGTCCCAGCTGACCTCTTAGTGGTAACGCAGTCGTGTGTAGTCCATGCAGTCTGTGACATTCGAAGGTCCTTCCATGTTGGTGACCGCAGATGTCACCGTCTTCTAAACTGGGCGTGTGGTGGTCCTGTTCCAGGACTGTGCCATGACTCAGTTAATCACACAATGACGGCGCTTTCGGGAATTCAGACTGTTTTTAACTTTTACTGAGGACAGGAGACAGAGCGTTCTTGTATCTAATTTTTGCCTGTCTGACGATCAGCATAAGCCTCCTGAAGCGGGACGGCTGGTTCATCGCTCATGCATTTTTAACACAGATCGCCCTTGAGAAAGAACGCGCCGGTTTCCACTGTCACCAGCCATGTCAGTGAGTGCCCGGGGCCAGGACTTGTGGGTGAGACGAGGTGACCTCGGGAAACATGTCCTAACCTTCGTGTGTTCGGTCCAAGCACCAGGGGCGTTCACTGCAGGGACATCAGCCCATCGTTTGACCGGGCCGGCGTGAGCCACGTCCTCCTGAATCACACGTGTGAAAACCGGGCCTTTTCTCTGGCGGAGGACCCGCACGGCGGTCTGGGGACGGGCTGGTCATCTCACAGGGAAAGTCGTGTGTAATGGCTCAAAGCTGCTGGCAGCAGGTTCGGGCGGGCGGGTCGCAGACTGCGGCTCGGAATCTGCCTTTCTCACTGTGCCTTCGAAAGTGGCAGCCCCCGAACGTGGCGCGTGTGGTCTTGCCCTGATTTAGCTTTGGGAATGGTTACCTTCTGGCTGTGTTTGGCGGTTGGCTAACTCAGGAATTCTTGGTGGCAACTGTGCCGTTGGAGCGCTTTCACAGTGCATGCAGAAGTGACCTCGGCGGTGGAGGGGGGAATAGAAGTGAAAAGCGATGATTAATTTTTTGCAGAAGTTCAATATCTATATTTGAAATAAAATTATAATCATGCTAATTATTGGAAACTCACATAAAAGCATCTGTCTCGTGTAGACTGGGAAACTGAGGCGTGCTGCAACCCAAGTTCTATCCCTGGTCAATTTAAGGACCCTTTCTCCCTGACTTCTAAAAGCTGTGACACGTAACCTACACAGAAGAGAGAATGAAACACAACTGCACAGATGAACAAAAGATTTGAGAGTGAACACATGTGGAACACCCATGTTGGGAAGCGTGTCATACAATTTCCACTTTCCTCTTTCCTTAAAATAATTACCTCTTATTAAAAAAAAAAAAAAAAGACAGAGCTACACGTGCACACGCAGTGAGAAGGCTTCACGGGGCACAGCTGACCAGGCGAGCAGGGACGGGCGGGACCTGGCGGTTGGGGAAGGGTGGGGCTGGGAGGAGGAAGAGGTAGCCTTTGCCTGCTTTTCTCGTGCTCTGTCCCTGGTTCTCTGTGCTCCTTTACTTCTGCCTCTGCATAGATGTGGCTGAGGTGAGGAACACCTCACGGCTCTCCAGCCAGAGAGGAGAGAGGAAAATGGGCTGTGTGTTCACACGCAGTGATTTCCGGGGTCTGTGAAACTCTGTGGGATTCTCATGAAAAAGTTGGATAATCAGTGGAGCAATTTTAAAAATCAGTCAAATTTAAAGGATCCAAAGTATCCCCTCTTTTAGCAGGCTTCCTGTTATCTTTGTGGGTTCGGTCTGTTGCTAATGTATCGTTTCTTTGATTAAACAGATTGCTGAGCTGAGTGAAATAGAATACATCGAAAATCTACCTCTCCTTCGAGTTCTCAATCTTCTAAGAAATCCGATTCAGGTAAGAGACCATTTATATTGGGAGGCTGGACGAGGACTTTCTTGGAACTCTTTCTCAAGAAGTACTTTCAATAAAGGACATCAGGCTGGTGGATGCAGTGCGTTTCCCTTCACTCTCAGTGTCTCAGGGAGCATTCTGAAGGGTTAGGCCGGGTAGCGCCCTGCACTCCACTGTCAGCGAAAGGGAAGCCCGAGATTGTCCCTTCTGTGTGGCCCCTGGGGAGTCATCCAGCAGGGGATGAAGGTGGCGGGAGGGAGCTCTTAAGGAGGTGACGGACGCTCGGGGCTGGAGGTGTGGACAGAATATGGCTCCCTTCTCCTAGCAGGATAGAAAGTCCAAGATTAGATACCTAACGAAACTGCCTGCATGTAGCTGTGAAATCGGTGTTGTTGTAAAATGATCATAGAAAAGAAATGTATTTCCCCTGGATTCTTCGCGCCTGGGATTGAGAGACCCGTGAGAGTCCTTCAGGCCCTGTCTTCTTCTTGTCCGCGGACGGTCCTTTCTCCCGGCCATCGTCCCTCCCTCTTTCTTCCTTGGTCCTTCGTTCTGCTTTTCTGCCCGTACCCTCACTTCTCTCTCCATACACGCTTGACTTTGCATGTGTCTCTGAGTGCCTTTGTCTTGGTGTGTGCCTTCATTAAACACGTCTGGACAGGCAAAAAAAAAAAAAATCAAATGAAGGTAAAAGTGAAAAATAAGATTTAAAAATAAAAGCCATCCTTGGGACAGGAGCAGCGGCAGGCAATGGGAAGGCAGCTCTGGGAGAGGAAGCCACGGGGCTTCCCGCGACTGCGCCCCCAGCGTCAGGCCCACGAGGGGTGTGTGCTCGTTTAACATACATTCTCACCAACAAAATGCACTGGTCACCATTATCTCTCCCTTCGAAGAGCCTTAGCTTCAGAATACAAAAACTTTAATTGTATCTTTAAAAGGCACATGACCTTAACCCCGCAGATGGTAGGGAGTATGGAGGAATTCACTCCATAAGGGAATATCATTTGATGATTGTAAAACAAATTCATAGTAAATGATACAAATTAATACAAAATGAAACAAAGTCGTAAATAAATGACAAACTAATAATAAGTAATGTTTCATTATTTGTTGTAATGAAACTCTTTGGAGTTAGGACAGTGATTTCCAGAGATTTTTTTAATCCAGATTTGCAACTGGTGCCCCAGAAGAATTTTTAAAACATGCAGTGCTTGACTGTCTAGTCAGGGGCACTGATCTTTTCTCCCTTAGATTGTCAAATTAAAAAAAATGACAACAGCCAACACAACAATAGAGAGTGAGTGCGAATGCCCTGTCTTGAGCCACAAATATGTAGGTCGTGTAATAGAGTTGCATCTTACTGGTCATGGTCACATCTCATAATTTAAGTTTGTACCTGATCGATGAATTCTCGGTCCCAGAAATCCTTATATACACGTATAAGATAGGCACCCGATTTTTTTAAATGTCAGTTTGGAGCAAAAAGGGTAGGTAATTACTACTATTATTGTTTTGGTACGTCAATCAAAATAATACCAATTTTTTTAAATTAGATCGGCAAAGAACATTTCTTTTGGTGTGCCGCAGAATTTCGGCGATCAGTTTACACATGCCGTGAGATGCGAAAGGTTGAAACTCACTGAGTCAGAAGACAGGGTTTGAGTCGCTGGCCATGAAACCTTAGAGTCAGTGCTTCTCCTCTCTGGGGTTACTTAGTTGGCCTTCTCTTCAGAAATGAAGGTAATTGTAGCTGCCCTGCTTGTGTCTCAGGGAGACGAACAAGATCACACACTTGAAAAGCTCTATAAGTTGCAAAAGGCACCGTGTGCATCTGACTTGTTAGTATGAGGGGGCCGGTCAGTGTGAAAACGCAGAGGCAGATGAGTGTGTGTGTGTGCACGCGTGTGATTGACGGGGGTTGCGGCTGAGAGACCGATGCCCGTGAAAGTAGCGCGTTGGTGCTTGTTCATTTGAGGAAATGAAGGCAACTGAATGGTCCTCTTGATATTTTCAATAGGAAAAATCCGAATATTGGTTCTTCGTCATTTTTATGCTGCCACGATTAACAGAACTGGATGAGAAGAAGATTAAAGTGGAAGAAAAGGTATGTAGTCGTATTATTGCCCGTGTCTCTGAGTTAACAAGCGGAAGCGCTCACGCTGCCTGCCGCGGGACCGACACAATCCATACGAGATTTGCGTGTTGTAAATGAATCATCCGTCTGGGGAGTGTTTCCTTGTCCCGGGGCCCGTCTGTGGAACCCCCTGCAAAGCTGAACCTCCCCCCGCAGTTCGGCAGCGGCGTCCCACTCCTGCAGGCTGGTGGCACCCCAGCAGACTGTGAACTCAGATGGCTGTCACGCTCAGAGAGTATGTGTGCCAGCCTGTGCGTTGCTCTAAAAAGTCACTTCATAAAGAAATGCATTCCAATGCCATCCTACCATGCAGTCAGAAGGTACCCAAGTGAATCCCTGCTCTACTATTTTAAACCTTTAATTCTGCTCTTCAAGGTAATAATTCACCTGGATTCACAGTTGCAGAGTGGCTGAAGGCGAGCACCTGCCTCCCTGCCACCACACCTGTGCCAGCTGCTTTGTCTTGCCTTAGCGACTGGAGACAGCTGACAGCTCCACTAATGAGGAGTTTCTTACACTGGATGCAAATCCAGGGTGGGAATGAAAACTGGTGTAAATAGGTAGAGAGGCAGATATTCCATTTCATAAAGGCCTTTCTGAAATCTTAGTTAAAAATAGTTAGAGATGGGTGCCCGAGTCTGTTATTATTCTTACACTCAAAGGTGCTTATTAGATCTCTCTGCCTTTAACGTTTTTGCAGAGGGGATGAACCTCAACGTTGTGAATTAGGGACGGTGTGGCAGACTGGGTCACGGGTTCTGAGGGAGGATGGAAACCAGAGGATGGAGAGCTGTACGTTGGGATGAGAAGGGCCTTATCTTGAACAGAGAGAGTTAGGCTGAAAGGGGGAAGGTTTGGGTAGAATTTGAGATGATAGTGCTCGGTGAGATGGCATGAGAGAGAAATTCTGCAGCATCAACTGCCTGGAATCTGGAACAATGTACTTTATTTCTTGTTTTAATACTAAAAGTTGGGGTGTTTCCTGTGTCAAAAGGAACCCTGGATTTTAGAGGTTTTGTTTTTGCATTCTCCCTCCTAAACGAGGGACTGTAAGGGAGTAGAGGGCCAAGGGACTCCAGCTCAGTATTTTACAGTAATGATCATTGTTTGGGTTTTAGGAAAGCTAGAGTAGACATGAAGGCTGAGCCCAAAGATTCACAAGCATGTGTTCAATTATTTTCCCTAGCTGGTTGCACGTCTAGACTATTTCATCAAAGAAAATCTAAGCCTTGTGTGCTTTTTAGAAATGCAATTCGTTTCCCTTTTGCATTTCAAATTCTGAAAAAGGTTACAGCAATGAATAAATACAACCCTCCCCCGGAAGTGGTCGCGACCCAAGATCACCTGATGCACGTCGTCCACAGCATGATGCAGCCGCAGAGGATCTTTGACAGGTATGCATCCGGGGTCCTCGGGGCAGAGCGCAGGGCGGCGAGCACGGGGCAACCTCATCGTCTTCCGTAGCCTTCTGGCTTGTGACCCGTTGCTTTGTCACCTCATCCAAGGGAGGGGGCCGGGTCTTTTTTGGGTAGTCTGTGTTGTTGCCTCAGTTACGGCGTGTTACCGCAAGCTTAAACATGGGCTCTCAGTGTTTTCCCAAGTGCGGTGATGAGTGGGTGCATCTTTCCCCTTTCATCTGGCCTCTGATTGGCCTGTGACATAGGACAGTGTAATAATAATATATAATGATGAAAAGGGGCTGGTCAGTGTTTTAATTTATTTATTTTTAGAGAGAGGGGAATGGCAGGAGAAAGAGAGGGAGAGAAACATCAATGTGTGAGAGATACATCGATCGGTTTGCCTCTCACACGCCCCAACCTGGGACCTGGCCTGCAACCCAGGCATGTGCCCTGACCCGGAATGAAACTGGCAAACCCTTCGGTTCGTGGGATGTTGCCCAACCCACTGAGCCACGTCAGCCAGGGCAGAGTTTGTTAGTTAGCTTGCTTGCTTTCTCTCTCTCTTCCTTTCTTTTCTTTTTTTTTTTTTTTTCCTGTAGGATAGGACCACAGACGATTGTGATCATTTCTGTCCATTGTCAGTTTTTCCTTAGCTGTGAGTGAATGCTAGGTACCCCTGCCAGAGACCATCCCGTGCATGCAGATTATCAGAACCCCTAGAAGGAAGCCCAGCGGGCCCAAGGGGGAAATGAAAGCCTTTTTTGGTGACGGCACTCGGAGTGCTCGCTCCACTGGGCTGAACACAGGAGTAGTCTCTCACCTCTGAGTTCGAGGATGGGTTTCCCACAGGTTCTCCTCCTCTTTTCACACAGTCTGTCGGAGCAGATGGCCATTCATGCTGTAAGTGCAATGCAGAAATTCTATCAATACCCAAAGGCATTTTAAAAATACTCATAAGATCTCTTGGTTATAAATGGCTTCTCTTTTTCATGTGATATTTGCGCCTGTACATCACATGGTTGGTTTCCCACAGGGAGCAAAATGTTTTATTTTGCATCCAGGACATGATTTTTTACATGTAATTTAATAATACAGACAATGACAGTTTTATATATTTATGGTAGCCCTCTAGGTGAAATGATTTATCATTTATTTGCATGTATCTGGAAAAGCACATTTCATTTTTTTCCTTAAAAAAGAGCATTTATGTCCTCATTGTATTTCTTTTTCAGTTTATAAAGATTGCTATTTGTTTCATGCTTTAGGGTACATTCGTATAAAAATATGTATCAAAGAAATTTACAGCAGTGTCTGATGAACACATTTCATGATCATTTCTGGCTGTTGAGCCAGATAAGAACAAATAGCCAAGCAGCCCCAGATGCTCACAGTGGAGCAGTGTTCATTGTGAAGAAGTTGTGGGCGCAGGAGCAGCCCCGTCTTTGCCTGTTCCACTCTGGCCAACTCACCGCTCTCTGGCAGCCCCCAAAGAGGAACCCTGACCTTGACCTTGATACTTTTATGCTGCATTTTGGGGGAATCACTGTTCCCTCTCCTGCTGTGATTGGGGTGAGGATACAATATTAAAATGACCCAGGCCCTTGTTGGGTAGCTCGGTTGGTTAGAGTGTCATCCTGACATGCCAAGGTTGCGGGTTCAATCCCTGGTCAGGGCACATGCAAAAGTCAACCAATGAAGGCATAAATCAGTGGAACAACAAATCGGTGTTTCTCCCTCTCTCTTCCTCCTTTCCTCTCTCTCTCTCAAAATCAATTTTTTAAAATGACCCAGCAGAACCTTGACCCTGGCCTGGTGGTCATGGATAGCCTCTTGCCCTCTGGAATGACAAGGTTCTAAAGGCTCATCTTCTTTAAGTCCTGCTCAGACTTTGGAATCCCCCATTTCTCCAAGGTGCCCTGGATGGTTTTAGCGAGAAATGGTATTTTCCAGTCACAATCCAAGCACTAGAGGTCATCATTACTCTCGGGTCAGTCGTTGTTTCCAGGCCTTGTCGTGGACAGAACTAGGAGTACAGTTACTTATTTCCTTCCTTCCTCTCTTCCTTTCATACACATATTCATCTGCCTGTCCTATTTGTACCTATCTATTAGTATCTACATCCATCCAACCTGTTTATATCTAGATGGATCTATCTGATTCAGTCTACACATAGATGATAAAATACCTCCTCTGTTCATACTGATGCTTGCAATTCAATTCTGAGACTACAGATGAGCTTTCACTTAACCCCCTCCCCATTACATGTATGTCTCCGTCTCTCCCACACCAAGGACACAGAGGAAGGAAGTAGAACATCCCTTAATTACTCTTGTTTTAAAAGCCTACATTATACTGCACCAGCCTCAGAATACCAATACCAATACCAATACTAATACCAACACGATCACTGAAAGCACTAGAAACATATTTTGCCTATGCTCATCCCATTAACCCTGCCCCCACACCATTTTCATTATGGTAAAAAAAAATACATAAACTGTTCTATTTTAACTATCTTCAAGTGTACAGTTTGGTGACATTAATTATATTCACAATGTTGTGCAGCCATCATCACCATCTATTTCCGAGACCGTGGCACCAAACAGAGACTCCGTAACAACAGCCCCCACTCCCTGCCACTCCCAGTCTCCAGTTGCTTCGCATCTACTTTCTGTCTCTGAATCTGCCTACTGTATATCTGTTATGTAAGTGTCAATCACCCTGTTTTAAAAATAGTTTACTGTACTTGCATTGTCAGAACACATACCCATGACACGCTGCACGCTGTCCTTTGCTGTCATTTAGTCTTGGTTCTGTGGATAACTGCGTGTTTATTGCTCACTTCCAGCCCCTGTATTGATGTCTCCTGCGTCATTCCGGTCGTAGGAAGCTTGTTGTCTAGTAGATTCCTTGGGAAGGTCTATAGGATCAGTATCCCTTGCTGATAATATCCTCTCAGTCATTATACTGAGTTATACTGTCAGTTATACTGACAGTCATTGTTGCCATAGTATATGAAGTCCATGGCGTGTACTTTTTTCTTTGACTATGTTAAAGATGTGACTTCATCTGTTTAGTGCAAAACATCGCTGTCAAGAACCTGATGATAATTTGATTTTTTTTCTAAGTTATGTGTATTCTTTTTTCTAGTGGAACATTTTTTTCTTCTTTTAAGTTCAGTAATTTCACTAGACCGAGTCTTAGTATTTGTCCTTCTGGGCTGATATAGTCAGGTGTATCTCTGCATGTTCTTTTACAATATACAGCTATGTTTTATTTTTCATTTCAGGAAAGTTTTCTTCAATTACAGACTTTAACATTTATTCCGTTCCTTTGCTTTGGTTTTCTTCTTCAGAAAGATCTCGTGTGCCTATTTTCAATATGTGTCAGTTTCTCTTGAATTTTTTTTCTTTAATCGTTGAAAAATTATTTTGAGATAATTTAGATTAGATTCACACGCAGCTGGAAGAACACAGAGCAATTCTGCATATCTCTCCCGGTTTTCCCCAGTGGCAACGTCTTGCTTAGCTGCAGTAGAACGTCAAACCCAGCAAGCCGACGTTGGTGCAGCCCACCAGCCCTGCCAGAATCCAGCACTCAAACTCTTGGGTACATTGAGTTCCATGCAATTTTATCACTTGTGTAGATTCGTATGAGCAGCACTGCAGTTGAGTGCAGAAGAGTTTTGTCACAAAGATCCCTGCGTTTCCCTTTTATAGCCTCAGCCACCTCCCTCTCTTTCGTCTTCCCTAACCCCTGGCAACCAATAGTCTGTGCCCCATCGGTATGATGTCGTCATTTCACGAATGTCGTGTGAGTGGAATGACATAGCATGTAACCTTTGGGAGTGGTCTTTTTTCCCCTTAGCCTCATCCCCTGCAGAGCCATCCTAGTTGTGGGTATATCTCTAGTTCATCCCCTTTGGTTGCCGAGTACCATTCCCTGTGTGGATGCACCGCAGGGAGTTTGGAGATTCTTCTAGGCCACTTCCAGCTTTCGGCTACTGCAAACACGGCTGCCCTGATCCTCTGTGTGTGGGTTTCTGTACACGTGCCGTTCCAGCCCACCCACTTCCCAGGGGGTGCTGTCTGGGGTTCCCCTGTCCTCAGGTCTGCAGGTGCTGCCGCATTGCTTCCTCCTTCCCCTCCCACACAGATCTGTGGTTCGTGGAGATACTGCATCACCCGGGTTGTTACACACGTGCTCCATGGGCTTTGTTTTTCTGTTTGTATGTGGGTATTCAGAGAAATTGAAAAATTCTTCCACCACCCCATTCCTTATAGAGTTCACGTCTCAGCCCTGTGTTTATTTAAAACATTGTACTTCCTCTGTGATTGTGTCATGAGTGGAATCCAACACTGGAACTCCATGTGTTGCAGGAGATTCTAGTAATAAACTCATTCTTTCGTCCGGACTTTCGGGCCCAGAAACTACACCTAGGTTTACACATCAGCGCTTATTTATTAGCTGTTATTCTGAGCAAGTCAGTCGACCTCTTGGTATGTCAGTTTTCACGTGTTAAACAGGGATAATGGTGGAAATACCTTCACTAGCTTCCGGTGATAACTAAAGAAGGTAATGCTTGTAAAACTCCTAGCATAGTGCCTGGAACCTAGTAATTGCTCAGGTAAATTTTAGTTACTCCGTTTCTTTGCACGTCGGTGTTCTAATTTAGTAGGTATGCATGTGAAAGTTTAACTCTCAGAGTTAAGAAGTCTTGCTTCTTTCACTTTGAAATCCCTGGAAGGCTACTTCAGCAACCAAGAATTAATGTACCTTCCCATGTATTTTCCTTTAAAAGCATTGTTCAGTTAAACTTACACTCAGATTTAGAGTTCACTTGTTACCCATGCGCTGCATGTCAGTTTTGACATAGAATGGTGATCAGCTTCCTTCTGGAAGCAAGACCCGCCAGCTGTGCGGTGCCGCCTGTAGCCAGGGCTCAGCTGCTGAGCTAACTGTGACCGTGACGCGGACTCGCTGCGCCGCACGCAGCCAGCATGCCGCCCCTCGGGCTGAGCGGACCCGCCCCCGACCCTGCCCTGTGTTGCAGCACCCTGCCCAGCCTGGACGCCCCGTACCCCATGTTGGTGTTATCTGGCCCGGAAGCCTGCGGGAAGCGGGAGCTCGCCCACCGCCTCTGCAGGCAGTTCAGCACCTACTTCAGATACGGGTAAGTTTGCGCGTGCGCCGGGGAGGCTGTGGAAGGTCGGGCATTGCCGATTCGGGCTGATCCTTTTAAGCAAGTTCAAACATGTGCGTAGGCGGCGTGTCCGCTTCTTTACCGTTTATCACGCTGTGATGTACATTGTATTTTTTTTTCCCTTTAATCCTCCAAATGTTTAACTTTAATGCCCTGACAGCCGAAATCACCCTGCGAGGTTTGGAAATACGTGTGTTTTCAATTGAGTGTAGTGGCGCAGGAATGCGGGCTCATCCTGTTGCCGTGTGTGCGGTGTGATGGCACAGACCAGCGTGCTGGGAGGTGCGGTGGGCGGATCTGTGCTGGGGGGGACACGGTGACACGCCGCCTCTCCTCTTCTCTGAGATGGCACTCAGCCGCTTGATCTGCATGCACTGGGCCTCCCCCTCTGGGCGCATTTCGGGCGGGAGGGTGGAGAAGGGGCAGCGGGAGCCTCTCCTCTCCCTTCCCTCAGGTTAGCACTCAACCCACTGTTCGTTTTTTGGAACAAGTGTCTTGCTGTGTGAATCCCTAATGACCCAGACAACACAGAGGCATATCCAAAACACTAGAGCCATCCTAAAGAAACCATCAGCCAGATCTACAGATTTAGGAAAAGTTTCTGAGAATCAGATTTAAAAGGATCACTGTGGTCTTCAAAACTCGTGCTGGTATTTATTTATTTATTTGGTAAAGAAATTACATTTAGATTAGTGGTGCTTGTCAGTGAGCTGAGGATGTGACTGCAAAGATATATATAGGACAGCAAGAAAAATAATGCAAATTATTTGCTAATGTCGTTACAGGGAAGTTTCTCCCTTAAGCCACTTGTGTTCAAACAACGTAAACACTATTTTAAACAGGTCCATTTATTTAGATATCTAAAATTGCATTCCTCGTTTAAGCAACCTTAGGCTATAAATACTGAAGAATAATTTACTCATTAATACATTGTCAGCACCCTGAAGGTCACACAAATAAATTAAAATTTACATTAGAATAAAAACATGCGGCATGCCATGATACTCACATGAGGGCACTGAACTTGCGAGGAAAGGTAAGTGGACGCAAAGGAAGGTCGGACTGGGGCAAAAGGGTGGACCCTGACTTTGTGCTCATGTATAAGCCTAGGACCTTTTAGAAAACCGCATGAAGGGAACCAAGGCCGCCTCTGATTAGAATCCCTCTCGCTGTTGGGATACCGCTTATGTTGCAAATGTTCGGTGGCCCTGACCCTCCTACGCGTTGGCATTACGCACGGCAGTGGCACGTTGGGTCCGACGTGCCCTTGGAGGTGTTGACCAACTCATCACCGAGATTCCGCTCCGGTCAGCCTTTACGTTCTCACCCGGATAGCCAAACCGTCCCCACCGCCACTATTCGTTTTCCTTAAATCCTGCGTTTCCCCTATTAGAATGTTTATCCATCATGTTCTGGTTGATTTATTTAATGTCTGTGTTCCCTGCTCATCAATAAGCCCAGTGAGGGCAGGGGCGGATGTCCAAGTTGAGTTCTTCACGCTCCGCAGATGGCCAGGCACCTCATACGTGCGTGATGAATATGTGTCAACTGAAGGACTGATGGGCTGAGTGGGTGAATGGGTGAATGAATTAATGGTATTAATGGTATTGTATGCAGATTTAATGGGAAATTACTGCGATAAGAAGCATAGGTGAGCCCTGGCTGGTGTGGCTCAGTGGAATGAGTGCCGGCCTATGAACCAAAGGGTCCTTGGTTCAATTCCCAGTCAGGGCACCTGCCTGGGTCGTGGGCCAGGTCCCCAGGAGCAGGGCTCTTGAGAGGCAACCACACATTGTTCTTTCTCCCTCTCTTCCCTTCTCTCTAAAAAGAAATAAAATGTTTTTTTAAAGAAGCATAGGTGATTTTCTCCCACCTCCAGTGGTGGATATATGGAAAGATGAAAGGATTTATGCATTTGTTCATCCATTCCTTTAATAAATACTTGTTGAGTTCCTCCCATGTGCCAGGCCCTGAAGGCACAGTGGGAACCAGATCAGTAAGGGCCGTTTCCTGATGAATTGTACGATCTGGGAGGGAGCTCAGACCTTCAGTAGTGTCACGTGTGGTTTGTGTGGAGGCAAAGGATGGCGGGACGGGAGTCCAAAGATGAGCTTCACGCTGCTGAGCCATTACTGCTGCCACTGCTGCTTTTCTGCTCCGGACGGAGTTAGCGAGCCTCTGCCCCGCTCAGAGCATCCCTCAGCCAGCCGCCCACTGGCCTCCTCCGGAACAGAGATCCGGGCTTGCTCAGTGGCCAGCCACTCTAAGATTCCGTCAAGGAATGAGTGAAGCACCGTATCACTGTATTAAAAAAAGGGCATTAGATGGCTAGTAATTTCATCCATTGAAAAAAATAAGATAGCTACTGTTATTATATGCAGCAATTTTCCAATTAAATAATAAACCCAAAACACACCAGAGGCAGGTCACTGATCTTCTTTAAATTTTATTTTATTCTCTTTTAATTTATTTTTTATTTTTTAAATTAGGTCTAAAGGACCATTCATTAATCTTAAATATATATATACAATTCATGGATTAAAATATTTATCAATGTAGTACCAATAGGTTATTTATTGGAATTTTGGTTTGGAATGGGTTTTACCTATTATGTATTTAATAGGTAAATATTATACCTATATAGGTATATATATATATTTTTTTTTACCTATATAGGTAAAAATGTTTATAATGTTTATTTTATATAGGTAAAAATGTTATACCTATATAGGTGTGTGTGTGTGTGTATATATATATTTTTTACCTATATAGGTAAAAATGTTTATGTTTATTTTATATAGGTAAAAATGTTTATAATGTTTACCTATTAAATACATAATAGGTAAAACCCATTCCAAACAAAATTCCAGTAAATAACCTATTGGTAATACATTGATAAATGTTTTATAAATGTATTTGATAAGTACGCTGATAAATACTTGGTGTATTTTATCAATGTATAAGGAGGGAATGTGTTTGTAGACCTCCTCTGTTGACTCTGCATGTTTTATCAGTGTATTTAATAAAATACATCTGCTTTATCTGATAAAAGAGAATTCCAGGTTATCTTTCTTTCTTTTTACATTCCTTCTAGATGCTTCGAACCAGTCCCCTGGCTGCCTCAGGAACTTTCAGTGACAGCCTCACACAAACAGGCTTTCGAGTTTCCCATCTCTGCAAAGAAGGCCCCACTGACTTTCTTTGCCCATGCCACATAACAGCTCCTAAATGACCTACTGGGAAAGGCACACTCACATACAAACAATAGTGACACTGAATGACCTCAAAGGTAGACAGTAGCGTTTCAGTGGAAAACTATAAACGCATCACAGTGATTAAATGCCAAAGTCTGGCTGGCCTTGGGATCTTTTCAAGAAGTACAGTGAAGGGGAACATGCAGGCACAGCAAGAATTACTTGAAGAACTTATCAAGAAGACTTGCTATTTCCACTTAAAAAAAAAAAACAAAAAAAAACCCTGGAGCCTCCAGCCTAAATAGTTCCTTTGCACACTGCTGTTTTGTTAGACCTCCAGATAAAAACATCTTAAAGCCTTAAGTAAATTACTATAAATTACTGTATAACTTAAGCTTTGCATGGTTTTAAAATGTTGATAATGCTAAAATTTATCCATTTTTTACACAAAGATATAAAAGGTAAATATTGCCATGCATATTTTGTTGACATTTAAAACCACAAGTAAAGAACTTGAAACACTGTCTAGAGAAATTGCTGTTTCCTGCATACCTGTTAATTATGGACTCGAGAAAGCATTTTTATGTAGCATCATCAAACCGAAAGCTTCAAAACAAGCGTAATTTGGTGCCTTTAATTGATGTAAATGTAATGCTGAGGGAAAGAAATCAATGTGAAGCAACACTGGAGTGCGTATACCTTTTCCGCTGCGGGTTTTCATGGAAAGCGTTTGCGAATGAGTGGGATTCCTTCCCAAGGGCATGCTGGGAACATGGGAAGTGAAGTGGGAGAAACCGGGAATGCATCTCAGGCATCTTCTTACCCTTTTTCACTTTCCTGAAACAGCCCTGCCCATGACTCTGTGATTAAAAAGACACATAAGCATTTATAAAAGTCCATCAGGTTCCCATTAACGCTGAAGTCACACACTAGAGGCGGGTGGTCTGAGGGGCAGTGGGAAGGTGGTGGCTGGTTGGGCCCCGTCTGCTCTTCAGTGAGCGAGTCCAGAGCTCTGACCTCACCCCCAGCGCGTGTTGGGATACAGGTGTATCCAGGGTGTGCCGGCACTCCCCGGAGGTCCGGAACCCCCCCGGGGGGTATATGGGCGTTCCAACTGCCCATCAGCTTTCGGCAGCTCGTGGGTGCGGCCCAGGCTGAGGCCAGAGGAGGCAACATGTTTATAGAACCTGCTCTGTTTTCTGTGCATTGAAGTCCCCGCAAACAATAAGGGGAATCTTGGGTGCGATGTTCTGCAGGCTCTGGAAAAGGTCACAGACGTGAGCTGATCGAACCTGCTCCCAGTCGGTACGTGCTTTTAAGTGGGTGACGGCGACAGCAGAGCTGTCAGCTGGGCTCCTTGCAGTCTAGCATCTGTGCAGTGGCCACCTGGTTGGTTTGCAATGTCATGGCCGTCAGCCTAACATTGGCACTGTGGCCCGGCTTGAATCGGTTCCGGAGGAAAAACCAGGCATAGCCAGCTGGTCCACTGTTACGTTCTCCATCCGGAGAAGGTGACCAGGGCCTGGGTGGAAAAGGGGCCTTGGTAGCCCGGTCTGCTGAGGAGCGGTTGGGAGGCGTCAAAACAGTGGCCCGCCTCTCGGAGGCACAGCCTGTCTGGCTGGTGGGCTAGGATTTCTTCTGGGAGGAGGCATTTCCTTCCCTCCCACATGAGGAGCACCTCCACAGGGCCTTGTGCAAAGTCGTCTGCGCCTTCTCCGAGCGCTCGGGCAAGGATGCTCCGCTGCATGGCCCTAATGGAGGGGCGTGGTGGCTACAGGGCCAGTCTGTCCTCGGACTCACAAGATTCCTCTGGAACTGGGGAGGTTGCATGCTCGGGACCGCCCTGCATTCCCCAAGGAGCTCTTTAGGATCAGTGGGCTCCAAATACTCCGGGTGCTGGGAGGCAGCGCTGCTGTTCAGTGTCTTGGCAAGAGTACTGTATAGCCTACTGGTACCATTTACTGGGGAAATGCAACATCGCTCTGCCCAGGCCTCCTCAGGAGCCAGGGGGTGTGGGTGCGGGTGGGGGCACTGGTACCCGTGGGGTGCAGCTGCCACAGCTGCTGTGGGTCCTGGTGCCAGAGGAGCACGGCACTGCCGAGGCGGGCAGGCGGGGCAGAGGCCTATTTTATTCTTCATTCAAAATGGAATTGATTGATTTTTAATTAAATGAAAAAAAAAACCCAAAAGGCATGAATAGTCTCGTCGCAGAGTATAAGCGTTTACATAAAGGCACTTGCTCTGTCATTTGCTTAAATCTTTTCCTCCAATTTTGTCCTGGTATTTGGTCTTCCTTTATCTAAATTGCACTGGCTCAAAACCAAACACTCAGAGAAATTTTCATGTGCTGAGTGCATGCCCAGATATATAACTATTGAAAACATAATTGGTGGTTTATAACAGATAGTGTGGTTGAGAGAGTGTGCCCTCGTCTTAGGCTTGAATTTGCTATTTGTTCCTGGTTTTAGAAGTAGGTTGGATGTTCTTTACATGTAGTGTTAGTGGATGGGAAACACGGATTTACTGCCTTCAGGGTCTCTCCACTCCCAGCCCTGATGTGACCTCCCAGATCAGTGGCCCCCGGAAGAGCGCTGAATAGCGAGGGAAACGCAAAACAATACCAGCCTGCTCACCTGCTAGATTTAAGACCATTCAAGTGCTCTGAGTGGTCGGTCACAAAGGAAAAACCATGTTCTTCCTTAGGTCTCTATTTTAGAGCACTTCTGATGTTCATAACCTTTCGCATGATGTCGACTACTAAATACATTTTACTCTTAACACTGTAATGGAGCAAAGTGAAAGACTGCAGCTGTTTAGTTAAAGGAGCAGGTATGAGCTCCAGCCACCAAATGCAGCCTAGTCCAAACTGTTGACACTGACGTGACTGACTGGAATGGTTCACTCAGCCATTCAGTCCGTGTCTGCCGAGCACCATCCGTGAGCCGTGTGCTGGCAGTGAAACTGGGGAACAACAGGCGTGGGTCCCGTCCTCCCGGCTGCGTGCAGTCTGGTCCCTCGGTCAGCGCCGCCTGACAGGATACTGGTTTGAGGAGCACTGTGATGAGGGACATAGGCGCTTCTGAGACAGAAGAAGTAAGAGAGGCTGGGAGTGGGGTTCAGGTGGGGCCTGCATGCCCCAGAGGACGAGCAGGCGTGTTGGAGTAACTGAAAGTGCACCCGGTACACAGGCTGAACCTGAAGTGTGCAGAGAGATGGCAGGAGGCAGGACTGGAAGGAGAGGCAGCAGCCTGACCCTGCAGGGTCTCGGAGCAGGGGAGCGTCGTGGTCACAGCTGCATGCTGGAAAGTGCGCTCTGCCGCATGGCGTGCCGTTTGGGAGAGGGCCTGGGGAGGGAGGGCTGGACACGGGGAGACTGGTTAGGAAACAGTGACGGGGGGATGGTGGTGTAAGTCAGAAAGTGGTGTGAATTGATACTCAGACAGCGTGTGCTGGAATCTTCTGCGTTGCTGGTCTCTTTGTGTCCAGCAGGTCAATGACACGCAATTCGCACGGAACATTAGACACAATTTAATTTGCCTACCACATCCCCAAGGAATACCCAGGCTTCTGTGGATACCCATGGAAGGAGTTCACTGACCGACAATATGGCGCACTGTAACCTGCTTGAATTTAGAGGCACATACAGCCAAGGCTCCGCCTAAATCTTTGCAGCAACAAGGAGTGTATTACTCCCTGAGGCAGTGTGGTCCAGAGTTGAAATCTCAACTTTGAATGCTTCTGAGGCCCACTGACAAAATCTCTACTTCCTCGTCCACCTGCTAGCTCTTCTTAGACATCTTTTTCTCCCTATTACGTGTCCCTGGGTATTTGAACATTGCAGCATTTGGCCTGGCCTTCTGCATTCCTTCCCTGCCCGATCATCGCCTCCGTCCCCGCAGGGACTTGCTTTGCTAGGGTCCCGGATGGCAGCTGGCCAGCGCATTGGCCTTTAGAATGTCTGACTCACCCTCAGACCTTTAGGGCTGGTGGTGCAGCCCGGGGCTAATCTCTAACTCAGTTCGTTTGTCTGTTAAGTGGGAGTACCAGGCAGCGTGGCTCCCATTGCAAACCATGATTTGACTCATTGATCAGGACTTACTGAGTAAATTAATTAGTAAACGATGAACCCGTGGAAATTTAAGTTACGATTAAAATTATATTTACAGACGAGATGAAGGGTATCAAAGGTGATAACCAAAGCAAATTTGTCTGCCTAAAATTTGGCGTTATTTTTTCCTAAGTGTATTGAAACGTCACCTTCACTGTGAAGTATTTCTTTCTGAAGTGTTCCTGTCCGGGCAGCATGCTTCACAGTGAGTGAGGAGGGGATGACAGGTGCGAAACCCCTCAGGTCACTGCAGGCCTTTCCTAACAGCAAGCCCCGCAGTGGGTGCAGGTTCAGGCATCGGCGAAGCCAGCCCTTCGCTGACCTTCCCGGGGGCTTCCAGCGGCGCCCCTGCCTGTCTTCCTTTTACAGACTCTGAAACCCCCCCTGCCCCTCCACTTCTTTGCCGGCTGTGCAGCGTCGGTGCAGTGTATGAGAGCTGCACTGAGGGCGTGATGCCGATCACTGGTTTATCCTTCCCAGCTGTCAGGGACGCCGACAGACGAGGGTCCCAGGTCCCTGCCCAGGTGTGTGAGGAAATGCCAGTGTGTTCAGACAAAACAAGTGTCACAGCGATGTGACAGTCTCCTCTTCGAAAGTACTCTCTGTCCCGAGTATATAGTTTGAAGATGATGATAAGACCTTAACATTTGCTAATTTCGTTGATTAGAGTAGAAGATGAACAGAAGATGAACAGTATACAAATTTGTCTTTGACTTTGCCATGGAGGGGCCTGGGAAGTTGAGACTTTATCCCCATAGTTGGATATGGAAAAGAATTGGCATTGGAATCATCCCGACCTTGCTACTTAGTCGTGTCCCGTAATTGCCGTGTCTGAGTTTCATCATCTGTAAAACATAAGCAACTCTGTATTCTCATTTCCTATTGTCAAATGGCAGGTTAATCTAATAATCCACTTGCATTCCCAGAACTTTTCATTGAGAAGGCAGAAGAGTCTGAATCAGGAGTCCTGGGCTGGTGGGGCCCCCGTGGTGGGTTCTGGGGTGACACTGGCCTGCTGGGACCAGTCGTTTCACAGTCGTCTGTGCAGGGGGGTTCACTGCAGCTGCTGCCCGCATCACACTACGTTTCTTCATTCATGTTACAAATACTTAGTGCCTACGCTGGGAATGCAGGGCTTCATATGATAAAGCCCTCCCCTCATTGTCCATATGCCGTGCTGGGGAGGACAGGAAAAGACAGATGCAGAGCTAGAAGAAAGCGGCATGGGGAATGGAGAATAACTGGGGGCGTGGCATGGCGTGGCGATGCTGTTTCAGACGGTGGTCAGAAAGGGCTCTATCAGCATCAGAATTGGGGGTCCCCAGAGGAGGGTCCCACCCAGCGCCGACAAGTGATGGCAGCTCAGCGGGACGAGCTCACTGCTGCCCTAGAGCAGCAGAGGACAAGGACCTGCGATGCCATTGGCGCTGGCACTGAGGCCCTGGGTGTGTAAGGAAGAGTTGCACACTCCAGCGACAGGGTCGAGAAAGCTTCTTAGGAGGGTGGCATGCGAGGTCCCGAAAGACCAGGGGGCTAGCCAGGGGGAGGGGTGGGAGAAGAGCAAGCAGGAAATGCCCATAGAACAGAGACCACATGAAAACACTCCCGTGGAAAAATGTAAGTGATAAATATTGTTATACTTCCCAAAGCACTACTTTGTGATGGCAGAGGAGGTGGTTCAGAAGGCCATAAATAACAATGAGCAGAAATCTCAGTGTTGACAACCCAGACCGTGTATCAGCCCCAGAGTGCGGCTGCCGACTCTGGCCCAGCCTTGCAAAACCACACAGGTGTCACCGTCGCGAGACTTTCACGTCCATGATTTATGGATCACTGCCAGCGTTTTCAAATACACTTTATGCGGGACTCACTTCCACTTGAATCCTAAGTTACCGGATTATCTATTTTATCTTTCCAGGGCCTGTCACACCACCAGACCCCCTTACTTTGGAGAAGGGGACCGAGTCGATTACCATTTTATCTCACAGGAAGTTTTCAGCGAAATGGTAAACATGGTAAGAATGCTGTCCTTCATTGCACGAGAAATGCATGTCCTCTGGGAGACACATTAGGAAACAGTGATAAAAAAGACAACGACTCAGTTTTGTGTGTGATATGAGAGGGGTTCTTACCGGGTTGTCTCTCCTTAATCCATTTAATACATCCCTGTTCACATGCTGTTTTTTTTACTCTCTGATCTTGGAGAAAACACTGTGACTTTTCAGGAGGACAGAGTGAGTGGACATGTGAAGAGAAGAGCAGGAGGAGCACTGTGACGAATCCTGGTGCCCTGTGCGCATCGGGCGCTGCTGTTGTTACATAGATTTCACTTCCCAACAGACCCTTCTCACACACCTGACGTGGTGCATGAAGCGTGCAAACTGAGCATTCGGTCCAGACACCCCTCCTTCCAGTCGCCATCAGCAGTGCTTCCTAATGGCCATGACCTTAAGCACCGTTTCGTCATGGCGTGTTCCATTCAGCTGTCCCGTCCCGGACACGCACGCAGCCTTAACCGTCCACTGTAACGCCCCCGTTTGAGAGCTCCTGAGCCTCGGAGGCCAGGCCGCCCCCCAGTGTACGCAGAAGCCCTTGCTGTTAGACCAGAGAAGGTTCCCTCCTCCTCGGAGGTCTGTGTCTTCTCAGCGTAAAGCCTTCTGCCCTGCATTGGTCTGTGTCATAGGAGCCCTGGGCAATCGGACTCAATTTTTTTCCCCCTGAAACTGATAATCTCATTGGTAGTAATTCATGACCCCGTTGCTGTTGAGTTCATTTTCTCAAAGATAAGTCACGTGTTCTTTCTCAGCCTTCCCGCCGCAGAGAGACTCTTCAGGACCCCAATTTGTTTTATCTGCCAAAAGTACATGCTGACGTCAGTACATCTCCACCCCTGACATCAGGTCTTCGTCACCGCTGGTGACTCTGTGAGCCTTTCCTCTTCTCTTTCTTTGCACCAAGGGCCTTCATTCTGTTTACATCATTCTGTCCGTCCCCAGTGACTCCTACACCACTGTGTGGTTTCTTTCCTGGAACCCACCAAGGGACCAGATTAAGGGTGATACTATGTTTCTGCTTTTTTAAAAAATATATTTTATTGATTATGCTATTACAGTTGTCCCATTTTCCCCCCTTCATTCCCCTCCACCCTGCACACCCTCTCCCACCCACATTCCCCACCTTTATCTCATGTCCATGTGTCATAAGTTCTTTGGCTTCTACATCTCCCATACTATTCTTGCCCTCCCCCTGTCTATTTTCTACCTACCCTCTATGCTACTTACTCTCTGTACCTTTCCCCCACTCTCCCTCTCCCATTCCCCTGTTGCTAACCCTCCATGTGATCTCCATTTCTGTGGTTCTGTTCCTGTTCTAGTTGTTTGCTTAGTTTCTTTTGGTTTTGTTTTAGGTGTGGTTAATTATTGTGAGTTTGCTGTCATTTTACTATCCACGTTTTTTTATCTTCTTTTTCTTAGATAATTCCTTTTAACATTTCATAAAATAAGGGCTTGGTAATGATAAACTCCTTTAACTTGACCTTATCCGAGAAGTGCTTTATCTGCCCTTCCATTCTAAATGAAAGCTTTGCTGGATAGAGCAATCTTGGATGTAGGTCCTTGCCTCTCATGACTTGGAATACTTCTTTCCAGCCCCTTCTTGCCTGCAAGTTCTCTTTTGAGAAATCAGCTGACAGTCTTATGGGAACTCCTTTGTAGGTGACTGTCCCCTTATCTCTTGCTGTTTCTAGAATTCTCTCCTTCATTTTAATCTTGAGTAATGTAATTATGATGTGCCTTGTTGTGTTCCTCCTTGGGTCCAACTTGTTTGGGACTCTGAGCTTCCTGGACTTCCTGGGAGTCTATTTCCTTTTCCAGTTTAGGGAAGTTCTCCTTTATTATTTGTTCAAATAATTTTTCCACTTGTTGTTGTTCCTCTTCTCCTCCTGGTACCCTTATAATTCAGATGTTGGAACGTTTAAAGATGTCCTGGAGGTTCGTAAGCCTCTCCTCATTTTTTTGAATTCTTATTTCTTCATTCTTTTCTGATTGTATGTTGTTTTTCTTCCTTCTGGTCCACTCCACTGATTTGAGACCCAGTTTTCTTTCCATCACTATTGATTCCCTGTGCATTTTTCTTTATTTCGCTTATTGTAGCCTTCGTTTTTTCATCTAATTTGTGACCAAAATCAACCAATTCTGTGAGCATTCTGATCACCAGTGCTTGGAACTGTGTATCTGACAGGTTGGCTATCTCTTGGTCACTTAAAAGTATTGACTCTGGAGCTTTGATTTGTTCTTCTGCTTGGGCCTTTTTTTTTTTTTTTGGTCTTGTGGCACCTGTTACATATGAGGGGCAGAGCCTTAGGTGTTCACCAGGGCAGGGCATCCCAATTGCTGGGTTGTGACGTTGTATGTGGGGACGGGGTCTGAGAGGAAACAATGGCACTTTCTCTGCTCTCTGTTGGATTTCAGTCCCTTCCGCAAGCAAAGTGGGTCCTTCTGGTGCTGTTTCCTGAACAGGAGGGCTTGTGTACATTCTAGGACCCTAATGGGTCTCCAACAAACTCTCCTGTGAGGCTGGGAGTCTCTCCCCGCACCTCAACCTCCACAAGTGTTTTCAATCAGTGCTTTTAGGCTTTATTTTCCGGCATTGAGGCCCCAGGTTGCGCGGTCTGTCTCACTGCCTGTTTTCACTTGGTTTATCTGCACACAAATGTGTGACTGCAGACAGCCAGTGGCCTTGTGCGCCTGACTGGGTCTGCTTGTTGCCCCCACCCCCCTGCCTGCGCCTGGGGTCTGCCACCGGGGTCTGCCAGCCACAGCCTGCGCCCTGCGCGCCCAGGTCTGCCAGCCACGGCTTTTTCCTGCCGCGACCCCTCTCTGCCAGCTGCCGACTCTGCCCCTCTTACCGGTCTGCATGAATGGTTGTTGGGACTTCCATACAGTTCACTTTTCTGCCTGTTCTGGTTCTTTCTTTCCACTTTTGAAAGATTATCATCCAACCAGCGATGCTTGTATGGCTGCATCTTCCCTCCCCTCCTCCTCCCTCGCCCCTCCTTCCTTTTTGTGTCCCCACCCCCAAATAATGAACCTGGCTTATCCTTCAGTGCCTATACTATTGGGACATTTAAGCATAGACTGTACAGTTTCTACGAGTTTCAGTCTGAATGACCAGGTTTATACGTGGTGCACGTTTTCTCTTATGTTTGCAGAGAAGCCCACGGGAGAAAGGCTTATAATCCCTAGGCCATTTTCCCTCTGACCTTGTTGAAAGTACATCTTGGAAATTCTGTTTCTCTCCTAGGGTTCTATTTCAACAGTTTAATGTATGAAGAGGGCTCCGGGACTTCATATTTCTAAAAGCTTTAATAGAGATTCGAGGGGTTATCTTATTATTAGTGAGAAGCATTCTCTTAAGACTGTTTGGGTTGAAAGACAACCAGCTCCCAAAATCAATGCTGATTTCTCTTATTAGCGTCTGAGGCATTTTGCCTTGGTCCAGAGCTCCAGTTCGCAGATCCCACGGGCTCCCCTGCTGTCCCACACCTTGTCACATCTGCAGTCAAGTGTGCTTCAGTTCCTCATTGAAGAGATCGCTGTACTTCCACACGATATTCAGTCTTATAGTTTTGTTCCAGCTATAGCAATCCTTATGCATTTGAGAATTATTCATTTTTACCTCTTCTGATAACATATATGACTTCAGAATGATATTATATCCATTAACTTCAGTTTTGCTTCTGATACCCTTTTCTTCCAAGTGGGCTTGACTATTTTACGAAGAGAGACAAACCTGGAGACTGTGAACTCCCGACATCATGTCAGCTTGGCCAATCACGTCCACAACTCATCCTTCTGTACGCTGAACCCCACCCCTCTGCAGGACACCCACCCACGGGCCCTGCTCTCTCCTCTTACGGGCGCCTGCTTGATAGACAACCCTGGCATACCCCATGTCCGCCCACCTTCCCATACACATGGCCTCCCCAACACACAAATCAGCCCCCAGCGTGCCCCCAGACACACTCACTTACCCCCTTTCCCTCTTGTGGAAATAGGACCACAGATCTGGAGGCATCTGAAACACAAAAATTGCTATTTATGAAGAATTCACAGGCAAGGAGAAACGAAAGGGATATCACTAGCCAGAAGCCAGAGATCACTCCATCTTAATCCTTAAAGCAAACATGAGCAGAGCCTGTTTTGTACACATAAGCTCAAAGCAGGAGTCCTCCCAACCCTATATCCTTTCAGAAAATGTATTTGGGATCTGCAGAGGAAGGCTCTTGTCCCTGCAAGTAAACTGGCTCATAGTATACAGTTGGAAACCATTTCAGGGGTGCATTTTGAAAACAGGGTGAGTCACAGTAAACAGGGTAAAGTACATACCTGATGGAAAATTCAGTATCTGTGTATGTGTGTGTATATGTATCTCTTTATATGTGTATCTCAATTTGGATATAATACATAGATTCAAAGAAAAGGGGTCACAGCATTTGTTCCACAGAACACAGAGAGGGTATGACATGCGGGAGGAAATGATTAAGGTCACAAAATGTTGCATTTTTACCTTTGAGAAGGTGTGACATAAACTTCTTTTGATTGGGGGGTGGATTCTCCCGCCTTGGGCAGCAGACTTGTGCCCCGGAGCCCCGCCCCACTCCGTGAGACGCCCTCGCTGTGCTGTGCAGCTGAGGGTGCTGCTGTCAGTGGGGTTCAGCCTGGGGCGCTCCACTCCAGTAGTTATTTAAAAACCGTGTGCGGGAGCAGTCGGAATGGCCCACATTTTTATTCCTTCTGTTCTCACCAGCCTCCCAATTTAGGTTAGACCTAGTGGTTTCATAACTAGAAGACTGTCAGAGAGAAAGACAAGTTTGAGAGATGTGTTTTACTTGCTTTTTGCAAGGGAGTACAGCTTGGGTAGAGTTTGGCTTCCAGAATACTGACAGAAGGCAGTCTTTATACTTCAGGCGGTTGTAGGGCACACAGTTCTGTGGTCAGTTTTGGTAAAAAGCCACCTTTATTTGGAAAAACAGGGGAGGCCCATTTCTGACAGCTTACCTTGGGATGCAAAGGTTTCAGGATGTGCCTGTAATGCATGGCCTTCAGGCTTATCTGGGAACATTGGCTTTTGAGAATGGAAGTGTTTCCGGGCTACCTGGTGTGCCGGCAGAGCGGACACGGCTGGGGCGGAGGGCGGACTGTGAGTTCTCCTGTCCATATAACGAAGGGTTATGGCACAGGTTTGGCAGGAAGTGGGTGAGTGAGCAAAGTGATCTGTCCTACATACGCCCCGATACCTCCACTGTCCTCTAGCATTTTGTCAGGAGATTATTTCCCAAAGCCTAATTCTTCTGCCAGCAGACAGTTCCGAATAAATTTCTCTATCGTAGTTCGATGTTAACGTTCATAGACCCATTGTCATTCTTACATAATTGCTGTTGTCGGTAAGTTTTGTGGAATCATATAAAAAAGTAAGACATCAAATAACTTTATTAAATTTCACTATGGCGGCTCTCTTATGAAAATCTCTGTACTTCTCAAATTTCAGGGCAAATTCATTCTAACATATAATTATGGCAACCACAGTTATGGATTAAATAGGGACACCATAGAAGCTATTGCAAGAGACGGTTTAGCAAGCTGTGTTCACATGGAAATAGAAGTAAGTGTTTTTCTTTCAATCAACTGATTTGTAATGTGTGTGTTTGTAAATTTATATTTGGGGTTGGGAGGGGCCGCGATGCGGGTAGCACACTGCTCGGCACAAGAAGAATGCGTAAGGAAGTGTGCGAGTTTGTTTACAAGTATTGGGCTGGCCAAAAAGTTTTAGTTTTTTCCATACAATGGCTCTAGTTTCACTTGAATTTTATTCAAAACAATTTTGTTAGCTTGACTTGTGACAGCTGTCATATCAGCGTGCATTTAAAAAACTTACCAAGAGTGGTGAAGTTTTGTGCAGCCATTTTGATATTGAAGATGGAAGGAGATATGCAACACTTTTGGTGTATTATGCTTTATTATTTCCAGAAAGGTACAAATGCAACTGAAACACAAAAAGGATTTGTGGTGTGTTTGGAGAAGGTGCTGTGACTGATTGAACATGTCAGAAGTGGTTTGCGAAGTTTCTTGGTACTGTTGACATTTTGGCCAAATAATTCTCTGCTGTGGGGCTGTCTCATGCAGTGGAAGATGTTTAGCAGCACCCCTGGCCTCCACCCACTAGAAGCCAATGGTGGGAGAGAGCCAACATACTCAAAATATCCAAATCAGCGAAGTTATTGGCAAAAATGAAAAACGTATCTTTTATTTTATGAAAAAAACATAACAGACTTTTTGGCCAACCTAATGATATGTGGGAGGAAAGACAGGTGAAAATTAAGTGACAGAATTAGATCAAAAGACAAAGGTAATGCATGACACGTGTATGAGCAAAGCTGCCACTCAAGGATTATTTTCTAAGTCATTTTTTGACTAAATTACCCTTTTTCTCCTGAGAGCCTGGTGTCTGTTCCTGTAGCACGGTATTAGACAAAACCTGACTCGTACCAGATGTGGAACTGGTCCCCTGTCCCCTCGAGACAGTGGCAGCTCCATGCAGTTGACCTTGCTCCTTCATGCCTCGTGGGAGATGTGTGATCCGTGTTGTCATTCGACTTTGCTAGTTCACGCTTGCAGTATTCGCATTCTGCTGGCAAGTTGGGCTCGCGGAGTTCAGGCAGCATTGTCTGTGCCCCACCGCGGCTCTCCCTCCGCGAGTCTTCCGTGTCAGAGTGCACATGAGTCCCCCACGGTGCAGGTCCCGAGTGCAAGCACGGATACTCCACTCTGGGGTTTGAAAACATGTGGTTCTGTTCACTGAACCTTCAAAGGCAACCGATTGTGTTTGTTTTCGGGTTGCCTTCCCTGACTGACACCTCTGTGGTCAGGAAAAAAAATGATAATAAAAGTGGCTCGGTTAGCCCAAACTTACAGAAAATCCTGGGCACGTCTAGCATGCCTTTACTATGGGTTAAATTTACTATCAACTTAAGGCTTTGTTCCCCGTAGCTGCACCAAGCAGGCCACGTGACTCCTTTTCGGCTCCTTGCGTGGGCACAGGTGTTGGACTGCTTCAGTGAAACCGGTCACATGTCTTCCAACTCCTTACTTTCCCGAACTTCAAAATCCTGCAAGCCTGATCTGCCTGTGTGGGATTGGTTTTACATCGTTAAGGAGGTTTTCGTTGTTTTTAGGCTAATAAGAAACAAAAGGCCTTTTCCTAAAAATGTTGCCCTTGAACAACGAAGAAACAAAAGCAGATGCACTTTTTGAAACACCAAACCCCTCCGGTTCCTCGCACTCACCTGCTCCCAGTCCGGCGGTTCTCCGGGTGCTGGCCCCCGGTTTACAGCTTCCTCCCAGGGAGCACTCTCCTGCTCGTTTCCAAGGGGTCACGTCTGTAAATCAGGTTTTATTCATTCCCCTGATTCTGTCCAGCGAAAGCTTGTTTTCAAACTGCTCTTTGTCATCGACTCTTTTAGAAATTTTTTTTTTTAAGGAGCCTGTGTGTCTTCCCATGAATTTTTAAGACAAAGATTTTGCATGCTGAGTTAAACGGTTGGTGATAGGATCGAGCTGGAAGGCACGTGGCGTCGTCCATTTAGAATAACGCTTTCATTTCGCCAGTGAGGAAACGGGTGCTCGGGTAGCACGAGGGTTTGCACGGCATCTGCAGGAGCCAGGTTGCTGCAGGCACGACCCAGCCCCCAGGTCTGCACACCACTAATACCATACCTGCCCCTGCTTCCCGCTGGGAGCTCCGGGTATCGTTAGCTTGGCCTTCCTGTGCTCTGGAGGCTGAAACAGGAACCAGCCAGCCAGGCGACTGGTGGACGAACAGGAGGTGTCCCAAGGAGATGACAGAGGGGTTACAGAGGAGCCTTTTCTCTCCAGTAAGAGCTCTCTGTCCTGCTGCTGCCGGGATGCCTTTTGAAATGTAGAACTGATATGACTTTTCAGTAATAAAGATGCAGTACCGTCATGAGTGTACCTATTTGTACCTCGCAATTTTCCTTTTTGAGAATCATATTCATTAGCGTGATTCATTAGGTAGTCGAACACTGGTCTGGCTGCCAGCCACCATGAAAGCCAAACTTGTGAGACATGCGCTGGTGAAAGGAAAGAGGTTTATTCAAATGTCAGCAATCTGAGAAGATGGGGAACTCATGTCCCAAAGCCCATCGTAACATCTCACTGCAGACAGGGTTTTCGTTAAGGAGGAAGAGGGGAAGCAGAACAAAGAGATCAAGGGGTGGGGCTGGAACGGCCTCTACGAGCAGACGAGCACAGTCCCCTCCGATAAGGACCTCAGCACTGGTCAAGGGATGTTCTGGTGTGCACCGTCCTGGTTTTATGGCACCCTGGCTTTGCGGTTGAAGGTCAGCAAACCTCCCGGAGCTGGGATGCCTGAGGGCGGAGTCTGTATCCTTTGAAGTTAGCTCCTGGGATTCTTACACACACGTGCTGTTCATCTACAAGTTCCATATGAGTCCGTCAGCACTTATAGAAACAACGTCAGAAGTAAGGGGGGTGGGCTACAGTTCCCCACCGTTACAATTCCTCACTGTTAGAGGATGCCAGGTAGAATGAAATCTTGTATCTGCAATGATAATCTACTTCTAATGAACAGGGAGAAGTAATCCAATCTTGAGATATTTATAGGAAAGTAATAGCTAATATACAGATAAAAGAAATCATTCCGTGCACTACTACTAATTATACTTTATGTTGCCAGACACCTCCAGAATGAATTGTGGATCTGTTTCTGATTTATCTTTTTTTTTAATGGATAGGGTGTGAGAAGTTTGAAGTATGCCTATTTTGAGCCTCGATATATCCTGGTGGTGCCCATGGACAAGAAGAAATACGAGGGATACTTACGGAGAAAAGGATTATTCAGTCGTGCCGAGATTGAATTTGCTGTTTCCAGAGTGGACCCTTATATTAAAGTTAATCAGGAATCTCCAGGATATTTTGATGCAGTAATCAATGCAGGTTGGTGACTTTCAGCAAAGTTTTATTTCTGAAGTGCCAGAGCAGTGGGGAAGAACCCACTGCAGGGTGTCTTGCTATTGTTGACAGAATGCAGTTACTTGTGGCTGCAGGACTGAGGCCCCTGTTTCCCTGTTGAATGTCTGCCAGGGGTTTGGCCTCAGAGGCTGTTCCCATGCCCTTTCTGTGTGATGGACAGTCTTAGAACTCTGCCTACCACAATATTCATAAGATCAAATGGAGCTGAAAAATATCAGTGTCATCAACAGTTGCAAATTGACTGTATTTTGGTAGGATTCTGTTGCTTTAAAGTGCACACTCCTTTACTGCAGATGACCTGGATGTTGCCTACCAACAGCTGAGTCAGCTCGTTAAAGAATACCTCGGATTACGCAAGGAACCTGCCAAGACTTTGGCTCCAGTTGCAGGTACTATCCTAGCCATTTTGTGTCAGAATTTGCGTGTGTGTGTGTGTGTAGAAGAAAGCAAATCTTTGAGTTGTTATTTGAATACTCATCAACTCAAGCTGCTTCTAACTTCTTAATCCCCACACTCCCTCTGGGGCCATCGTCCCCACAGACCAATCACCCTCTGGGCCGGTACCTCTGCTTGTCTCGGTGACCATAATGGAACTCAGAGGACCGCGCTCCGGGGACTTGCTGGGCGGTGCCTGGCAAGGTGGCGCAGGCGTGGTCGTCAGCCCCGTGGGTCAGGACTGAGCCTTCCACCCTGAGCCTTCCCTTAGGGTTCCTTGAGGTGGTGTTATGCTCAGCAGGTTTGTATTTAGCATTGTTTTGGTCCAGGACATTTCTTCCCCATTTCCTTTGCGTTGCCCTTGTCCTCAAAAGGTTGCACCGCAGAGCGCAGTGGGGAGACACCGGCCAGAGCATGTGAGCCCAGTCCCGGGCCTGCTGCTCCCCTGGGCAAGCTGCTTAGCTGGTCAGAGCTTCACTTGACTGTCCCGCTAGATGGATTGAATGCTCCCCACCGGCCTCACGGATCCAGTGTGGGCAGCAATGGTGTAGGATGTATAAGAGCGCATCTCCTTGGAATCTAGGATCCTAATGCCCTGAATTAGAATTTTGGTGCACGAGTAATTTGAAATGTACTTAAAAGTTTTCCCCAAATCCACCTCACACACACTAAGATGGCTACTATTGAAAACAAAAAAAAAACAAAACGTGTGGTGGCAAGAATGTAGAGAAACTGGGAATGTAAAATGGCGTGGCTGCTCTGAAAAACAATATGGTGGTTCCTCAAAAAATTAACAATAGAATTACCGTATAACCCAGCCATTCCACTTCTGGGTTTATTATACCTCCCAAAGAAGTGAAAGCGGGGACTTGAACAGGTATTTGTACACCTGTGTTCATAGCAGCATCATTCCCAATAGCCAAAAGGTGGAAGCAACCCCAGTGTCCCCCGAGGGGTGAGTGGATGAACAGCAGTTTGCTGTACGCATGCAAGGGAACACCGTCCATCCGTAGAAAAGGAAGAAATTCTGACGCGCTATAGCACCAGTAAACTTTGAAAACAGTGTGCTCAGTGAAAAATGCCAGTCACAAAACCAGGAAAACTGTACTAGATGACTCTGCACGTGTGAGGTACCTGGGGCAGTCCACCTCACAGCAGCAGAAAGCAGAGTGGTGGTGGCCAGGGGCTGCGTGAGCACAGACTGGGAGTCAGTGTTTACCGGGTGCAGAGTTGAGTTGTACACGATGAAGAGGTTCCGCAGGTGGATGGTGATGATGATGAAAAAGTTCACAATGGCGTGAATGTGCTTAATGCCAATGAATTCTGCAGTCCCGAGATGGCTGACATGGCAAATGTGACGTGATGTGTCCTTTACCACCATAACAATGAAAACGGGAGGTCCCTCTGGTGGACTGAACCACCTCCACCTGTCACTGCAGTGAATGATAGTCCAGGCTCTCGCTGCTGTGGCGATGGGCCGCAGCCTGCTGTGCACACGTGGTTTCTAGCCCTCCTGTCTCTGACCGAGGGGGACCTGGCCTGCCAGCTTGCATCACGCTGTCACCAGAGTTAAAGCGGGTGTGGTGCCCCTGGCAGTCTGCAGTGAAGGCAGGTGAGACAGGTAGCACCCAGGTAATGACAGCTTTTCCATCTCCATGTGTCTCTTAGGGGGAGAGTGACGAGAGTGTGATCTCCTAAGGATAAAGTAGCTGAGGAGAGCACGCCCTGACTGAGTGTGGGCGGCAGGGAGGTCTGGGCCCCACCCACAGTTGGGGGTGGGTGTTAGGTTAGGAGGCGCTGCTCCGATTCTCCACTTGGGGCGTGGGCCCTTCAGCAAGGCGAGTCCATCGCGGAGATGATAGCTTCATGTATTTAATGAGGCTTCCGTCGCTTGGCGTAAGTTTCTCTGGAGGAAATCTGCCTCCTTTGGCTTTAAATCTTGGCCGGCCCAGCAACCTTCTGATGTTTAATTTGGTCCCCCCAGGTGGACCTGTCCCCGTGGGGGCTGTCCCTGACGTTGGAACGCCCTGCCCGGCTCCCCGAGCCAGGCCCATCTCCCATTGTAAATTAATCAGTGGGTGTTGCGGCTTTTAAATCAGCCCCTCGTGGGTTTGGATAAACAGGAGTCAGTCCCGCGGGCCTGACCGGTGCTGAGTAATGGAAAAGAGCCCACGTCTCAGTAGGTAGCTCGGGGGACACCTCCGAGGTCCACGCTGGGGCACGGCTCTGTCTCCGCCTCCACCGTCAGAGAGGCTGCGTCTCTCTGTCTCGTCCCCTTGCCCCGCGCCCGCAGAAACTCCGGACACTCTGCGCTGTTGCCACTGGCGAAATTAACAGACCAGATACGGTGTGTGTGGGAAAATGGACTCCCCTTTTCTTAAAAGGTGTAATAAAATGACATTTTTATACTAATTAGGTTAGCCCCATTGGACTTACTGAAAAGAAGGAATTATAGAATTTGTAAGATCTCGGATCCTTTAATAACTGAAATAGGACCAGTTATTGACTGATAGAATTCCATCTTTTAAAAACGTCAGTGGGAGTGTTTGTGATTAATATATCAAATTGCTAACCTCAACATCCCCGGATTTCTCAGCAGGTTTAGTATTGTAGAAAATAATGTGTTTTTTTTAAGAAGCCAAACCCTTTACCTTATTTATACAGTTAATCTATGGAGGAAGTTTTGTTTTCTTGTTTTGTTTTTTATTCAGTTGATGGTTTACAGATGAACTTGACTTAGTGGAGGCCAGGCATTATTCAAGCGAATATTAAAAAATTCTCACTAACATAGTCCTTATTCTAAGTTTTTATAGTGTCCCTAGTGGCCCAGGAGGAGAGCCAGTGGCCTCCGTGAGTTCAGGCCACAAGGTGCTGCCAAGGAGCTGCGGGCCAGGTGGGGGCGGGTTCACTGCAGGGGACGGGCCCTTCCCCATCACCTCAAAGCCACCACCTGACTCCCAGCCGGGTGTCCCCACCGCCCTCCGGCTCTCCCCTCTCTGCCCAGCGGGGTCACTCTGATTTTAGTTTCCATTGTTTAGGTATTTTCATGTAAATACTCATATTATTTGTACAAGCAGAACCCCTAGAAACAAAAATCAATGATTTCAATATAGCAGAATATTTTATATAGGGGTCCGGCAGAAGTAAGGCCTGCTTGAGTGTGGTTGGTAGGGTAATGATATGGGTGTGATAATTTATAGTTTTATTTGAACATTTCACCTAGAATTCCATATGGTGTGCTTGAGTGTGATATCATTAGGTTACAGAATCACAAACTTATGATTTTGTAATTTAAAAAAAGGGGCATTATTTGTGCTGGACCCTGTATGTTGAATCTATATAAAATGGAGCTATGAGAGGTAAGAGAGAGAAATAAGAACTGTAGGATTCTGGGAGACACAGCTTTGTCTGCACAGTTAGAAAACAGGGCTAGGAACAGCAAGCCTTATTTTGCATCCTCAATGTCACCAATAATGATTTGTTCAGAGAAACCCCTTGAACTCCCATCTCCCTTAAAAAAACCCCGCTCTGTGTAGCATGGGAGAGCGTGACTGGAGCCTGGCCCCCGGAGCGGAGGCGCTCCCAGCGCGGGCAGAGACCTGGTGGCCGGAGGCGTTCTTTTCACGGACACGGGGATCCCTGCCAGTGCTCCCTGAAAACTATTCCCAGGCGTGTGACCTGGGAATTAGATGATTCTGTCTTGAACGGTTCCTTGTTGCTTATTTGTGACCGAGGGTGCAGTCTCGGTTTCTCTCTGACGGGGGGAGAGGCACGCAGTGGCAAAGCAAGCCCCGCCAGTGGGCTCTGAGTGAGTGCCGCAGGCCCCCCCCAGCCTGGCCCCGGGAGTGTGACCCTTCCGAAGGGGAGAGCCTGATTGAATTTTTATTTAATGCATGTATACAATGGTAACTTCAGGTACAGGGTGACTATCAACCCTCGAGATCTTTAGATACACCATTAATTAAAAATGTATATCAATTGAGGTACAGAATTGTCTTAATTTTTTTCCCCATAACAATGCAGGTAAATGTTCATTTCTAAAGTATGAAGACTAAAAAATCCTGAGTAGACTAAAAAATCCTGAGTAAACAATTATAGTTTGTATAAAACTAAGAAAAACCCACTTTATTCCCAGCTCAGGGCAAGGTCTCCCTTTGCCCTCCCCATGCCTCTCTGCCCGGCCTGTTTCTGGAATAGCTGGTGCTTCCAGGAAAGCTTTTAAAATCAGATCCAACTCCCACCCTAAGTTCTCACTGTAGAGATCATAAAATTCTATTTGCACATCATTATTCAGAATTCTGACTAATGACAGAGGAAAATGATGGTGACGAGTCAGACGGGAAATGGGTCAATTTACCAGTCCATAAAGTGGGGCCTTTATTGCTGATAAAGGGCATGGTAGCACTTGCCAAATTACATAAACTGTTGAATTGCAAAAGTGTGTGTTGCGGGATCCGTGTATGTCTGAGTGCAGGAGAGCAGGAGGGCTTAGAGATGGAAAGAACCTTCAGCTTTGGGTCTCACTCCTCTTGCATTGCTCTGTTTTTACTGTGGAAAACAATAGCATGACAGTTGCCTTTTTTACCCCTTGTAAGTGTACAACTTAGTGTCATTACCTCACTCACAGCATTGCCTGACCATCACTACTACCCGTTTCCAAAATTTTGCATCACTGCAAAGAGGAACTCTGTATCCATTAAGTACTAACTCCCTCCTCCCCAGGCCCCGGTACCTCTCCCCTATTTTCTGTCTCTGTGAATTTGCCTATTCTAGATACGTTCACTGTGATGATATTTTGTTTTAACTTATTTCTTGACTAAATTTGTATTGTAATTCATGAGCCATGTAAACTAGGGAGGGAAGAATATTGAACAGGGCATCCCCCCAGGAACCCCACCCAGAGGCAAGCTCCTCCCAGTCCCCACTCCGCCCCCCACGCCCCCACAGAAACGTTTGGTTCCATGGGATGCACAGGACACGCCCCTGCCCCAGAAGGTCCGGTCAGAGCCTAGAGCGGTCCAAGCTCAGCTCGCCTTGTGGGGGAGAGGAGCTGGTGGTTATGAGCCTGGCTCCCTTCTGGGGATGGCCCACCCTGGGAGCCCCTTGGGGGTCTGATTTGTGTGGAGCCTCTGAGTTTCAGGCCTCCCCAGAAGAGAGCTGAGCTGAGCTCCTTCAAGGCTGTTGCAGACCCCTGGCCTTTCAGAGCCACGGCCTGCAGACGGTTAAGGCAATGTCGGGACCGCAGGCATCTGTCAGGCCGCTGTCATAAACAAGTGCTTGCTGGGGTAGCAGTGTCCAGAGGACTATCCCTGAGACCAGAGTCACCCTGAGAACTTGCTGTCGTGGTGAACAAAGGAAGCCACGCCCCTCTGCAGCATCACCCTTGTTAGTGGCCCCTGAGAGCCAGTCATAGGCCAGAGCAGACCTGGAGGAGAAAGAGGAGCCCTGGGGGGGGGGGGGGGGGGGGGAGGACAGCAGCTTGAACTGGAGTCCTCAGGAGCAGCTTTTCTGAATCACGGTGACTTATGACTCCCTCGGATCTGTTCTCCCCCTCCTCCCACCCCGTGCCCCATACTTATTTACGGGGTGCCAGCCCAGCTGCTTGCACCTCGGTGACCTGACGTGACTCCTCCCAGAGCCCACAGTTTCTCTGAGGGGACTGCCACTAGCCAAGGACACAGACGGGACTTTGTGTGGCTTAGATGTCCGTCTACTTGCTTCCATCCATTGCGGCACTGACCTTTAAAAGGTGGCTAAACTTAAATCTCATTCGCTGAGAAAATTTCCTTGCCACTCTCAGACCTGGATATAAATTTTGGTTCTGTGAATAAGCCCCTCTATGTTTATTAAAGTTCATGTTTTCAGTGGGCAAAGATTGTTCTAAGTTCCTCTTACTAAGAGGATTCCAGGCACATAGTATCTGCAAGGAGAAGGGGTGGTTATATTCTTCCATATGTGTAATTTCATGCTTTTCAAGGGCCTGTGTGCATCGAGAAAAGGAAAGATATCTTGTGTTATTAATTTCTAAAGTTACATAGTCATAGTTGTGGAGATGTTTTCAGCTAACTTCTCTTTATGTCAAAGCAGGGGACCCCTCTAACAAGAAGACGCCCTCTGGGGTACCAGCGCACCTGGTTCCTTCCCCGAGGCGCCTGGCAAAACTGCAAGCAGATGGCCGGATACCAGAGCATCTCTCTGGGATGCAGGTGTATGCACAGGTCTCCGAGAGCCAGACCCTGGCTCCCTCCCAGAACCAGGAGCTGACGCAGGAGGGGGCAGCCCCTCCCAAAGAGCCTTCTCCCGACAGTCACATCACTGCTGAGCCTCCTGCACAGCCCAGTTCCTCAGCTCTCAGTACTTCCCACAAGGCCCAGGACTCAGCCCCAAACGAGAAGGCAGGGGATGCTGTCCCTGAAAGTGAGGCCAGGACCTCCAAGACAGTAGCAGGTGAAGAAGGACAGGCATCCACTGGGCACCCGGACCCACCTCCAGTCCACAGCCCTCCGCAGGGACGAGATGAGGAATCAGGGGAGGTCGGGGAAACCGCCCCCGCCCCACCCCCTTCTGAACCTCTGCAGGGGACTGGCCCCACGTCCCTCAGCCCCCAGAAAACCCAGGATGAGGAGACCGAGTCAGCCAGCCTGCTGCCGCCAAGAGAGCGTCCGGACCCTGATGGGGCCGAGATGCCTGGACCACCTCTGGGAGATTCCCAGCACCCTCTGGAGGAGGGAAGCCCCAAAACCGCAGGCACCAGGGTCACCACTCCTTACCCAGCACTGCCGAACCCCCAAGACCCAACAAAGAGCAAACAGACCCAGGACAGGGAAGACCCAGCGAGTTCGCTTTCCAGAAGCCGGCTGGCTCCCACCAGGCTGCCCCAGCCTCGGGTCCTTGCCCCCCTCCAGAGCCGGAGACCCACCCCCAAACTCCCCTCACCCAGCAGGGAGGAGGCTCCAGAAACAGCCTCAGATCAAACCATGAGGCCCTCTCCGAGGCCTCCGCCAACTCAGGAAGGCGACCCCGGCAAACTGCCTCTCATCAGCCCTCCGCATCCCAAACCACCACCCCACCCGAGCGCCCATCTGGGCCACAGTCCCCAGCACATCCAGGGAGAGACGGCCCAGGAGGTGAAACTCCCTCTGATCAGCCCCCCCACGCAGGAGCCCGCCCCGCAGCCGGCCCCTGCCCCTGCCCTACCGCCGGAGGAGGGCGCTCCGGGGGTCAGGCTCCCTCGCCTGCCCTCGCCCTCCGTGGAACGGCCGCCACCTCGGAACTCCAGGGCGCGACAGGAGGCAGGGCCTGCAAGGAAGAGGCCAGCACCCAAAGCAGGCCGCGCCTCCAGCAAGAAGGTTCCAGAGATGCAGCCCTCACCCCCAAAGCAAGAGCCGGTGCGGCAGGTGGGAGCTGGGGAAAAAAAACTTCCTGTGCAAAGGGAGACCCCTAAAGGACCAGCGCACCTGGAACAGGTGCCGCCTGGAAGCCACCAGACGGCCTTGCAGCCGCCGTCCCAGAGTGGAGCCACTCTCCCAAAGGGGGCTGCCCACCCAAGCCCCAGCCCCGCTCAGGGGAACCCGAGAAGCCAAGGCCACACCCCAGAAATTCCTGAGCCACTCCACGCGGAACCTAGGGGTCCCCAAACTCGGGAAGAGGAAAAGGAGAAAGCACAATATTCCAGAAAAAAGGCCCATGCCAACCTCCCCCCAGACGGCCTGGTTCAGAAGGCACCTGTGCCCCAAAAAGGGCCATCTTTGAAAAGAGAGCGTCCTGTGGGATTATCTCAAGAAAGTAAAACCACCCTCAGCAGGCACCAGCCATCTCAGGAGGGTGAAGGTGCTCATGGGAGAACACTCCAGAACGCAAAGGCCTCCGCAGAGTCTGCACCGGCTGGTCCCGCTCTCACGGAGCAGCGTCTGAGGAGAAAAGCAGAGGCTCAGGAAAGGGGCCAGCGGTCTCAGGAGACAAGGCCTGCCGCAGACCTCCTGGGGCAGGACGGCGCGGCCCCCTCCCAGCAGCCTGTCGGGGAGACCAGTCAGGCCAGAGAGAGCTCTGTGCACAGACACAGTGCTTCCAAGCAGCAAACCAAAGAGAAACGCACCCGAAAACCTGGGGGAGCCCCACAGGGGAAAAGTCCCACTGCGCCCCAGGGTCAGCCATCTGCTGAGGAGCAGGGCAGCCGGCCAGGACGGCTGCGAGCGAGGGGCAGTCAGAGCACCACAGTTTAACCGTGACAGTGGCCCCTGAAGAAGTGCTGCCCGGGATGGGAGGCGGTGGCCTGGACGCTGTTGGCGGGGACACGGACCTCCCCCTGCTCTTGGAGCCAGCCCGGGCACAGGCAGCCAGTGGGTTCCTAGAAGCCAGCCCGTCTCTACACCACGGGGCCTCTTCCGCAGCTTGTCGCAGCCTGGAAGAGCAGCAGCCCCTGTAAAGCGTGTCCCAGCCAGTAGTGCCCCCGCCCCCTCCGACTGGTAGCATCGGTCCCAGGGATCTGTGTCAGCGAGCAGCCTGGCGTCAGACTCCCGCGGACCCCAACAGCAGTGCCAGCTCTGGCTGAGGTGGTGTGGTGTTACTGTCCAGTTTTGTTCTGCTCATTAGAAACAACTGCTTTTAGATTAGCCAATTCTCTCACGCTTCTTACATCACCGAGGGGTCCAGAAGCAAGACCACCAAGAAAGCAAGCGTTTGCTGTTTCTGGTTTTTGGTTCACCACCACCAGCTCCCCTAACCCTACCCCCACCCCCAGAGATTTCAAATCCACAGAAGATTTGTGGGAACCTTCTGAAGGGAAGAGGAACAATTCTTGTCACACGTAACACTGTGATCCAACGTTTTAGATGCTATCAGCCCATATTGCTTCAAACTTACCTCTGTTTGAAACATATTTCAAAATGAATAGCTTGCTTCCTCACTCTCTGAACAGGAGCCTTGTGTAAATTAGCTCATGCCTTCATTATGCCGCACCATCTGGTAGAACTGGTTAAAAGAATTAGTGGGGTTGAAGTTCGGGCAAATTTGTTTTCGTGTATTCGTACCATCAGGATTCTCTTGCTGGCCATGACAGGCGTCCGGCCCAGCCAGCTTCCGTGAATGGCTCAGAAGGGAGTGGAATATCTCACTCAGCCAGACGGTGGGGAGGGCAGAGTTCGGGGAGATTGAGGAGCAGTTACTGGGCGGAAGCTGGACCCTTGTCATCTGCACTATTTTTGTCATCTACCGGATCCTTATCTCCTGGACTCTTGTCATCTCCTGGGCTCTCATCAATTGTCATCTCGCTTGTTTTTCTCCATATGGGCTTTCTTCTCTTCGATGCGAATGACTGTGTGTCAGTTTCTGCACACTAACACCTCTCAAGTTTCACGTCACATTTAACAACGGGGCAGCTCCCACTCCTAGAAAGCGATCAACTCAAGTGTGCATTCTTAAACCAGTCTACGCCGGCTTGGGACAGGGTCCTGTTTAGACATATCCATTGTGTCCACTCCTAGAGTGTGTGGAATCTGCCTTCCCAGAAGAGAGGACAGTTGTGAGCGAGGCAGCCAAGGCAAGTTTCAACTCTTAAAAAGCTGCAAGATGTTTACTGAATGCTTATTATACTAACTGTACGATGGCATGCAAAGTTGTGTTCAGCATTCTGTATTTTAAAAATGTAATTGACAACTGCATAACTGCCTGTATAAATGTGTCTTACCTTACACAAAAGGTACTTGTCCACAAAATTAAATGTATGTCACTGTTATTTCAAGGGTAATAGAGGAAACTGATATTTTAAAATCCGTGATGCGGCGATCCTCTTGTAAAACTAAAAGCCTGTGTTATAACTACCCTCTGATTTATCTGGTTTGTCCAACGTGAAAGTAAGAAGGCGAATTTTAAACATAGTGCTTACTTTGATTATGTTAGTTCATTCAGCGAGCACGGATTGGGTGCCTCCTGTGTGCCGGACGCCATGCGAGTCGCTGCATACAGCGAGATAGTGAGGGCTCTTCAAGGAGCTTGCTCTTGAACGGAGGAGGTGTCAGCAGGGTTCACGCCAGCGCTGTGGGATTTGGGCAGCCAGAGGCCCTGCAGCACACTGGGCTAAGTTTAGCATCAAATGGGCAAGAAAATGATGTATTGACTTTTCCAGACTGTCATAAGGATACCCGGGAAGGACACGGAATTCCGCCTGGGATGTGGGAATTGAATCAGGAAGTCGTTCCCAGAGGAGGGTGTCCTTCAACTATGTCTGCAAGGTTGCAAAGTTCGTCAGCTGACCGATGAGACAGAGGGGACGGTTTCTGAAGAGCAAACAGCACACGCCCAAGCATGAAGTCTGGAACAGGCATAGCATATTCTAACAGCCCAAAGCTCTAGGTGTATGTAAAGGGCCTTCTGAGCTATGCCGATGATCTGGGGAGCTTGATCTCCCAACAGCGGGGAGCTGTGGAGTGGTCCAATTTTTATCTTAGAGGGTTCTGTTTAGAGATCGAGTAGAGGACAAATTTGAGAAAAGCAGTACAGGAGGCAGGAAAAATGGCTGAGAAGCTTTGCACAAGAGTAGTCCTGGCAAGACAGTGAGGGCCTGGACTAAGGCACCGTGGCAGGGATGGAGATTCAAGAATTACTTGAGTGGGTGTGTGAGGAGGGCAGATCATGAAAGAGGGAAAAAATGAGGAGAACCACCTATTTGGTCATGAGAGGTGTATGGGATACTTGGGAGGCGCCAATACCTCACTCAGGTGAAGGACTTTAAACATTCCGCCCTGGGCAGTTGTTTCCGAGGCTCCTGAAGGCGTGTGGTTGCATTTTCGTCAGGGTACTGATGGGAAGTGAGAAGCCAGATTTCTCGTCCTTGGACGTGAAGGGGTCTCGCCTCCTTCCCAGGGGTAGTGCAGTTTCTGTGCGTGTTTGTGTGTCATCTGGCGGCACCAGGGTCTCCGAGTCAGGGCAGCCGGGCAGCGTGTTGTGTGTGGTCCAAGGCAAGGGGCAGGAGAGAGCACCCACTGCAGTCTGGTGAGAGGTTTCTGTTGTGATTACTGATTTCCTTGATGTAAGGAAAACTCCTTCTTTTTAATGGTAGAATAAATACTTTTAAATGGTCAGGTTCCAGTCTACATCGACAAAGTTTATGTCACTTCCATTTGCTGTTTCTCGGCAAAGTTACCTTTATGGGGAAAAAAAAATTATGGACTTCAGTCATTCTATTAGTTACTATGACCTTCAGCTTTTTCAAGGAAATCTGGCCCCTAGTATTCAAATCAGCAGAGATAACCATTCAATGGATGTAAGAGAATCTTCGAGTGTTCAAAGGGCTCAATCAGTTATTTTCAAGCTTCAAAAGGTAATTGGGCAAAGGGCATGATTGGTTAATTTACAAAAGAAGAAATGAAAACCAATCAATATATCAAAATGTACTTAACCTCACTATCAGCTAAAACCAAGTAGACATTTTTGGGGTCCCAAACTGGCAAAGATGGAAAACAAATCAACACCTGTTCTCGGCGAGTCTGAGGGGAAGGGCACTTTCCATGTCATCGGCGAAGGGAACCGGCGCGGCTTCTCTGGGCACGGTTTCACAGTGCCTGTCAGAACCTTAGCAATCGTTCGTGACTCTAACCCGGTAATTCTAACCCAAGAATTGCCATCAGGAAATGGCTTGTGTAGATTAATATCTTTACAATAAAATCTGAAAATAATCAAGGGATTATTCATCTCATGGGATTTAAAAGTAAGTTATGGGGAAAACTTACAGGATGCTGTGTTGCCAGTAGAATCACGCTGTGGCAGAATATGGAGACGGGAAAATATTTGATCCCCCGAACTTCAGATAATTGCACTATTTATATAGTGTCTAGGACAGGAATTGATGAATTAGTTCAATTTGAAAGATGTAATTCTAGAAATCACCTTTCTTTATTGACCAAGCATTCAGAGAAGAGGGTAAGAAGAGTCTATTTCTTTGTGTCGACGATAGATAAATAAATTAGAAGACCAAACCTTTGATTTTAAAGGTGATATTGAGAGTATGCTCACAATTAGGAAAGGTGAAGACTTTTTTGTTAGATTTATGATTTCAAAGAACACTAAATGTCAAAATGATCATTGGAAATTTCAGTATCAGTACGATTCAGCTGTGTGAACTTGGGCAAGTTATGAAATTCTCATGTATAATATGGCGATAATATTAGGCATCTCAAGGTGATTGTGAAGATTAAATGAGTTACTGTATTGGAGAACACCCAGAACAATGTTTGACGCGTAGTTAGTGTGGATGTGAGTGCTTGTTAGTATTCACACGTAAGCAGCAAAAGCTAATTTTTTAAAGAACTTTACATTGTATTTTTCAATTATAATTTACATTTAATATTATCCTGTACTAGTTTCAGGTGTACAGCATAGTGGTTAGATAATTATATACTTTACAAAGTGCCCCCCTGATATTTCCAGTACCCACCTGGCACCGTATATAATTATTACAATATTACTGGCTGTATTCCCTGCGCTGTACTTTGCATTCCTATGACTATTTTGTAACTACCAATCTGTGCTTCTTAATCCCTTCATCTTTTTCAACTAGCCCCTAAACCCCCTCCCTTCTGGCAACCTTCTGGCAACCATCAGTTTGTTCTCTGTGGCTATGTGTCTTTCTGTTTTGTTTACTTATTCTGTTCTTTTGATTCCTCATATAAGTGAAATCAAATGGTATTTGTTTCTCCGACTTATTTCACTGAGCATAATACTGTCTGGGTCCATCCAGGCTGTAACAAATGGTAAGATTTCATTCTTTTTTGTGGCTAAGTAATATTCCCTTGTATGTACACACCATGACACTTTTATTCACTCATCTATTGATTGGCACTGGGCTGCTTTCATATGTGAAAACAATTTCTTAAGTAGCATTTTATCATTAATTAGAGTAGGGACAGCACTGGTCACAGCAGGTGTAAGAGTTTGGCCAACGGGATGCTCTTCTCTGGAAATCCTTTTAAAATCATTGGCAGCCTTAATTGAATTAAGGGGCTTAAGCAGAATTAGAATAATATTGGAAAGACATTGTGGTTCAACAAAACATTCCTTAGATCAGTAGATTCTTTTGTGGGCATTCGCAAGCAGCATTGAAACATGGGGCGCACGCAGGAAGGACTCGTCAAATCGCACCGGGCACAGAGGACATCATACGTGTTACCTGTTATTTGTACCATCATTATCCGACTGCTGATAAAAGCAAAGGCCTTCGTACTTCATGTGTCAGACTGGTTAAATGGTAGGTGCGGGCGGGACCTGACTCGGGACTAAACCAGCAGACAGTGGGCATTTGTTTTCTGTCTGTGGTGTGTTGAGATGCAGACTAGCTTCTCCAAGCTACCAGGTCTAAAGGCCACCCGATTCCAAAGACAAAAAGAGAAAAGCAAAGTGAAAAAAAGGCAAACACCATCTCTGCTGCAGGAATCGATCGGCAAAACAACATTGTTGAAAGAGCTGTTGTTGAAGGGTGCGCCCTTGACGGGCGAAGACCACGCTCACCCCAGAGGCGGGTGCAGGCTGGGTGCGGGTCACGTCCGAACTCGACCTATCAAACACCCTGCTCAGGGGAGGCAAGACCCTCAGCGGGGATTCGAGCTCCCTGGGGTTCCTGCTGGCCATTGCCCCCCTCTCTTCTGTCTCCTCTCCCCCAAATTCTGTACACATCCAGACCTTAGGTATCAAGTTTCTGCTCTTGAAATGGACCTGTCCTGTGTGGTATCGCCTTCCAAGTGTCCATGAACTGCTTCATGATAAACTCATCCATTCGAAAGAACTGAAATTTCGGGGTACTTTCATCATATGGTTTAAGTAGCACATTCTGAATACATATCCAGACATCGAGGCCTTAGTTGAGCTCTGCTGCGGACATCCCAGGTACATGGCTTCTACTGCATGTGAAGTATGAAGTTCAATGGCGAGAAACACTCTTTGAACCTCTTTCTCTCTGTGTGAGAATGCACATTCGCATGCTTTGCTTTGTCCTGGTGTGGAATCTGTTCTCTGTTTAAATAGCTGATTCCTCCTTTGATGAACACTCTGGAATACAGGACTTTGCTGTTAGAATGGTGTAATAATCACATTCATTTTACCATGTAACATGAACATCACTTCTGTATTTCCTTGGGCTTATATGCTAGCTTTCTACTATAAAAGCTTATTTTGCTGTGGGAAATTGTTACGGATATTATGTAAAATGGTTATTTTTCAGGTTGCTGTCATTCCTTTCTTATAAGCACAGACAGACAAGACTTTTAAGATTCATTTCTGTCCTGAAAATATAGGTTCTTTTGGCGCCTTTATTTTTACAATAACACTTCCTAGTGAGCAGAGCTTTTCCCTTTATTTTCCACTACAAACTGTATAATTGTCCTAATAAAAATAAATACATATTTTAATTGTATAGCAGATTTTTGTGCTTCTTTTGGCCATGTTTACAGTGTATATTTCAATATTGAGAGTCTTTTGCAGGGATTTTATAGGTATTTACAGTTTATATATTGTATGTATATGTATTTAATCATGGTAGGTATAAATTACTCTTGTTAGTTAAAAATTGCATACAGCATTTTTATTACCTATTACTATTCCCTAAATAAACTTTTTTTTTAAGCTCCATTTGAGTGGGGCGAGGGGAAACTGAACAGTATTGAAATCATCTGGGCATCTGAGTACTTTCATCTGAAAATTAAAGGCTATTTTCAAGTTACAACTTTCCATGTGTCTTCAAACAGTCTCTACTGTTGATTTTTTTTTGCAAGGTTTTGTTTAAATGGTATTAGAAAAGTGTCCCATGTCATGTGTTTGAACAGGAGGGTGACTCGGTTACTTTGCTGTATATATAATCTTAATACAGAAAAACCAGTTATTAAAATAGTGATTTTTGGTTTTCCAGATACAGCTGACCCTGAACGGCACATGGGTGAGGGGTGCCAGCCTCCCACAGGGTCCAAAATCCATGCATAACCTCCAAGTCCCGCAAAGCTTAGCTACTAATAGCCTCCTACAGACTGGAAGCCTCACTGCTAACAATGAACACGTATCTTGTATTTTATATGTAGCATACACTGTAAACCTAGATAAAAGAAAGTGTGGTTATGAAAATTATAAGGAAAATACATTGACTGTGTTTATTGAAACACACACACGTGTACGTGGACCCGTGCAGTTCCAGCCGTGTTTTTCAAGGGTCAGCTGCATTCACAGTCTGACCGCCAGGTTCTAACTTCGTTACTAGGTACTGCCGTGGCTGTGGGCCTGTAATAGGAGCTCATTGATGTCCTTCATGTTCCCCTTTCTTTGATGCTGGAACAGGCCCTGTTTAGCCTCTGTGATGATACGACATTAAATATGCGTACAAGCCTTTATTCTTAGCTACATGGCTTCCGCTGCACTTACCACTTAGGTTGGGCGCTCTGCTGATTCTTTTAGGATGCTTTATACCAATATTATTTTAATTCACTTGACTGCAGAAGGACATAATTTTAACTAAAAGGTCTAAGCTATTTAAAATTAATTTGAGATGTAGTTCTGGTTGTTCCAGATATTTCATTTATATTTTCCCGCATGTGGTAATGATAGTAATCCATAAAATAACTTGAAAATCTGTCATGCATCATTAAATTCATTTATGCTTCATTGGAGGTATTTAAATAAATTTACCTAGGCTGTAGACTGAAGAACTTGGTTTTTTGTGTGCCATAAAGTAAACTTTATATATTTTTAATGTTGCCTCGAGGCTGACTTTAATTTAGGCACTTTGAATAAGATCACATTAAGAAACTTCGTAGTAGGGCATTCTACCATAGCATGGGAATCATGGTTTTTCATTAACTGAGAAGTAGAATCTCTTGCTCACTGAGGCTCTAAGGCACTAGGAACGATAGTAAGGACTGTATGGGACTGTTTATTACCAGAGCCCACGTCACTGAAGTGGGGGCTTCACCACACAGTGTAATAGTCGTCTTCACCCAGAATGCTTTGCTGCTGAGAGACCATGAAGTCATTCAATTGTTAGAATTACAGCTGCATTGTATCAGATTGACCTTGGCTTATTTGCACCCTAGTACAAACGCCTGATGTCTTAGAAAGCTAGCACAAGGAACGCTCATACAAACGCTGTTATTTTGAATAAGGTTTATACATATAAACTTTATATGTATTTTATATATTATATGTATAATAAAGGAATGTTTGTATTTTTATTGTGCATATGTTCCTTTATTTTATATATATATAAAAATCCTTTCCAAAGAAATGATTTCAATGAATATAGCTTCTATTTCTTTAAATTTTATCCTAATTTTTTTTCAAATTAACCTGGTCTTTTTCACAATGCTTTATTCTTACAGTCCCATCGAAAGGACAAGGGTTTGGGTTTGGGTTTTGGTTTTGGTAGGGCCCAGGACCTAGCCTCTCCATCTCCTTCTCTTCCTCGCCTCGGCCCCCTGGAGTCCTCAATTTGGTTGTGTTACACGTGCTCCTGGGCGCCTCTACAGAGCCACTCTCGCCGTCCCAGAAGCCTTCGCCCCAGGCATCCGAATGCCTCTCTGCTTCGTGACTTTAGGTCACGATCCAGCCTCTACCCCTGAAGGTTGTGGTGTGTGGACAAATCCAAATACAAACATTTTTTCTCACTTGAGAAAGTTCCTTTACCCTATGTTATGCCTTTTATTTTAAACTTTGTGTTCTTCACCCTACCAGATATTAAGCCAGTTCAGCTGAAATTTCTAAGGTCGTCTAAGAAGTGTAGTTCCGTGGATTCTACAGACAGAAACTACTTGATGAAATTATGGACCAAACTGTCATCCAAAAAAACACCGGCGGTAAGGAGGGACAGACGGGCGACGCCCCAGGGAGGGCGGCGTGGGGTCAGACAACAGTGGGGTTGCCGTTTGCCGGTCAGACTTCCCACTGAAACCGTCCTCCGACGGGCAGCCTTTGAACACGGGTCTTTTCACCTGTTTCTACACCTCTACGAAGAGGCGTGGGATCTAAAAACAGAATATTCAGTTTACATTTCAAGACTACCTTTCCCCCAGCCTCCGAGTCTACATGTACCCTAACACTCGGCTCTTCTGTTTAGCAAGAATAGAAAAAGCACAACCATAGAATTAATGCCATAACACATGTACTTCCAGGGAAAACGCGCTTTGTTGTTGGGATCTAACTTACAGTGATCCTGTGCTGAGTCGCAGAGCGAGCCTGCTCAGACAGAGAGTCCTGTTTTCGTAACGCAGCCCTACCGAAACCAGGCACGTAGCCTCGTCCCAGGCCCGCTGTCTGAGAGCTCGGAGACATCCATGTGTGCAGAAGCGCCGAATGCGGCTGGCGCTGCATGCAGATCAGGAGGCGTGCATCTGCCGTTGCAGTGGTTTGCAGGTGATGATCTGGGAATACGAAGAGATCTCAGCTGTCACTGAAGCGACAGAACTTCCGCTTGGGTCGTCATTGCCTGGGACGTGTTTCTGTAAGCCTAGCCTGTTCTGAGGAAATAATCACATCATCGTCTAAAGTCAGAGCCACGGGCAGTGGTCCAAAGCATCAGACGGGCCACTTCCAATGAAAGGCCACGGCAGCGGTCCAGCCAGGCGTATGCATGCCACTCTGATTGAGTCATGGAGTGGGGTGTTTCAGGTGGAAGAAACGGATGCCCATTCAAACCAGCTTCAGTAGAAGTAGTTCCATCATAAAAGTACAGGGAGCAGGTTCCCAGTGCATGGTGAGCAGGGATGACACGCAGACCTCTCAGGAACGAGCTAGCTTTAGAAAGTTAGGTGCTCTCTGCTCCCTTCGCCTCTGCTTCTCTTTCTCATGTGTTCCAGGAGCTCGTGCTCCCCGCTGGCCTCCTCCGCATAACTTGCGCTCATTCTCATGCGCGGCAGCCCCAGCTCTCCTGACCTCTTGGCTCTGTGCCCACCGTTCCCAGCAACTTCCCTCTGCCTCTTTGGCTCAGACTGCAGAAGGCAAGAGCATCTCACTGGCACAGCTGGGCAGGTGTCTCGGCTGTCCCACGCAGATCGAGTTAGACTGCTTTTCCGGTTCCCCGTGGCGAGGCCAAAGGCAGGGCCACTTGGTACCGATTGTGGCTCCTTACAGGGAGCTGCTATAGACTCTAAACCCCTGTAAATAATATGAATGTGTTCCCTGCTACTTGAGTGCTTATGTGTCTGAAATAAACCTGGAATTGTTCCCATCCACCTAGGATCTGTGGGAAATCAAGCAGTAGTCATTAGGAGCAGTGGTCACGCCCCTTCTTTGGATTAAGTTCAAGAGCTCTGAGGCCCTCACCATCCTGGAATGTTGTGGGAGAGCCCTGGGCCTCTAGACCTCACTCCACGGGTGCCACGGGGCTGCTCCTCCAGGACCCTGGTTCCGTTCTGAGCCAGCCGCTCTGGGGTTCTCCACATGCTGGCCTCCTGCTAGGGCCTGTGCCTAGTGCTGACCCTGAGACCTTGCCGTCCTCAGGGGTCCTCCTCCTGGAGGAAGCCATCAGTTTCGGCCCTGGGAAAGCCAGCTCTTTCCAGGGCAGTCTGCTGTGCCCTGTCCACTTGCTCTCCTGTCCTTGGATGGCACGGCTCTATGCTTCCCAGAGCTTTAATAACTTGTTCTGTAATCTCCCCTCAGACACGGCACATCCATAGCGTGCACTCCGGAACATGGGTCTCTGGCACCTGCATTCATTCCTGAACGATGAGCCTGTATCCTCACAGCCAGGGCCAGCTCACGGCCCCGTGAGGCTGCGCTTCAACACACCGATGCGCAGCGCACACCCTTGGTGTGCCCCCTCTGCCAGTCGGGGGGACTCATGGTTTCCTGAAACCTGACCAGTCTGCTCACTGCCTATGAGAAAGCTCTCAGGCCGAACTGAAGGCAGCTTTCCTGGGTGAGGGCACTCAGGGACCTAGGAGTGGGAACAGGAACAGAGAATGTTTTTTAAGCAACATTATATATTCTTGGCAATAACTCACCTCCAACTTTTCAATAGAAAGTTAACAAGCAGTATGGAGAAACAAACGTGATAAAAAGGCAACGTGAGGGCAGAAGAGGCCCCTGGGCGGCAGTGGACGGGGGAGGGGAGCAGATGGCACCAACCACCGGTTGTCAGAGAGCCCGGTGGAGTTCCACCCGCCCAGGGTCCCCTCCACTCCCCCCAACCCCCAAACTCACCTTGTCCCTGGGTCTTTCCTTCTGCTCCCCTCATCCTAACACTCCACTCTTCTGTGCGCCTTGATGTGTCACCACGCGGATGTCAAGGTGCGGGTGCAAAACAGGGAGGCTGCGTCTGTCCGAGTCTCAGGGAAGCGATCCTGTTCCTCGGGAGTCACACGTGTGTGCGCTGTAACTGTTGGGTAAGTGTGTGTTTGTGTGTGTCGCCACCTCTGCGTGTGTTTCGAGTCCAGCTTGCCTCTGTCTGCATTTACCTATTGGTGTCTTGGCCTGAGAGGAAATGCAGCAACTTCGAGTTCATGTGACAGTCTTGCCACCTACTGGGTGATCTTATAAGTCACTTGTCGGCTGTGAGACGTCATTTTCCTTTCTGTAAAGGGGAGCTAGGAATATCTGCCCCACAACGTCAGTGTGTCAAACGCTTAAGGAGCCTCCTTCTAAACTGTTGACCATAAAACCAGCGTTAATTGTTGTTATGGCGACCGTGGCCGGCAGGGAGGGCAGGAGGGGTTCAGGCCCTCAGCTCTGGGACACCTTTACTGTATACCAGGTTCTGCGCCAGTTGTATAAAGAAGTAATTGGCGTGAATTCAGGAAATAAGTGCACCTGACAAGGTTATTCGATACAATGCCAATATGCAAAAATGTATTGGATTTAATAGCAATACGTATTCCCTTTCCTTCCCCTCCCTCCCCTGCCCCTGTCCCTTCCTGTTTTATTCCTCTCATTCATCTCTCTCTGCCCATCCTGAATTTGTTTAATCCCTACCATGCGTGCCAGAACTGGATTTGCTTTTTTGTGTGCAGCAGGCGTTGGCTGACCGGGCCCTGTTCTACACACCAAAACAAGGTGGACCTGGTCCCATCCTTCTGGGACGAATAGTCCGGCAGGCCAGGGTATGGGTGGGGGCAGCCAGGGTATGGGTAGCTCTTCTACTGTGGCCTTCTTTCTGTGAGCAGAAAACGGGCCGATGGAGCGTGGGGAGCCTCAGCGTCACTGACTCCTCATACACCCACAGCTGTTCTTGTATCCAGCGTCACTGGGGGTTCACCCCAGGAGCCAGCAAACTTGTCTTTCTTAGGAAGAAATGACCAAGGATATTACTACTTATCTTCAAGTCTGGGGTGGGGGGGAACTCTGCTAACATCCCTTTTCTTGCCAGTTACTCCAGTAGCTTATCAATATCCAATGCTTTTTGTATGACCATACTTTAATGTGGGTTTGAATAATTTAATAAAATAATGTCCTCACTGCCTCATTCCCTGCTTATACCGTCACTCCTGCTGGTTTCTCTCTTCTCTCTTCACAGCTTAAATGGTATTTACTTTTCTGAATGACTCCCAATGCACGTTAATTTGAACGTCTCTACAGATTCTAGGAAACTATAAATATAGTTTTAATCAGCCTTACTTCTTAAACATAATTTTCTTGTTAGGTTTGAGTTTTTTAAAGACGCACAGATCTTCTTTACTGCTGCAGAATGTACGTAGCGGAAGTACCCAGTGAGAAGTTGTTGATGTGTCCCTCGCCTGCACGGTCAGGACAGGAGTCTGAGTCCCTGTGTTCTGCTCGTCAGGTGTCACTGTGCTCTCTGTCCCCATCCCCGGCCTGAGAGCAGCCCGGCCACCTCTGCACGCGTGCATGAAGGTTGTGACGGCTTAGTGGAGATTTTTTGCCCTGAAATTACTGCGACCAGGTCTTTGCCTTCTGGGATTAGCTTTCTGAACTTCAATTATATCTGTTTCTTCGACAAGTTCCTCGGACCTCCTCCTATAGGGGACACTCTGGCTCCTGGAGCAGGCCAAGTTACCGGAAGCCAGTTCTTTAGGAAAAAATAGCCGAAGGATCAGTTCATTCAAAGCCAATGTCGCAAGCGCACGTGTGCGGCAGACAAGGCAGGGCAGTTCCAGAAAGGACCCAGACATGCGAGGGCCGGTGAGCAGTGGCTTTGGTGACACAGTCGTGGACACTGACGTCGACGAAGCGCGGTTTCCTTCCAGTGCCGAGACCGTCTGCTCAGGGAGCTTGTCCTGGATTGCACAGCTCACGGGTTTCTGTTTTGACTCTGGAAGAAAACTGCTTTCCTCTGCACAGGTGCATTTTTCAGTGCCCAGAGTTGAGCACCGTGTCCATTAGCTGGAATAATATGGAAGGAGATGCTTCTCCCACCAGCTACCCAGTACAGTTTGCATCATGAATTGGTGGCCTATTAACATGAAAGTATCATTTATGATCTTGGTGGATGCACATCAGATGTAAGGGTGTCCGCCCACTGTACTTTTTTATCCTTGAAATGTATTCTTCCTTTGTCCAGTGGGCGCCTTCAGGTCGCGCCTGTGGGGGGAGGGTCTTTGTCTGCAGAGGCCCCTGTCCGCCTCGGATGAGAATAAGTCTACCAAGACATGATCTGCTTGGAGAGGAAAGGTGGTCGATCTCTCACAGGAGAAGGACCAGAAGCCTGTTCCTCAATGGGCTTTTATTGGGTTTGTTTACACAGGAATACAGATAAAGCTCCTTAATCATTGCCAGGAAGTAAGGATCAAACAATAGATAACAAAGAACTCTGAGGGCCTATTTTGAGTCAGGGTCAGATAGCTAAAGAGCTGTAAAACTTTGAGGAACAAACTTACTTTTTGTTTGGACCCTTATCATTTAA